GGAAACTGCACCTGCTGAAGGATGGGGAGCTCTGCCTCCCACACGGCCCACTGATCTCGTATATGCTGAGGGCCGATAGGCTCGTCCCATGCCACATGTTGTTTCCATAGATCCTGTATAAGGACTTTAGCTCTGGTCGTAAACGGCACAATGAAACCTAGTGGGTCATACTGGCTGGCCAGGATCCTATAAAGGTTCCTCAAGGTTGGAATCTGATTATCAGTAGTGCGGTGCTTGTAACCCAGCATGTCAGTAAGGCAGTTCCACTGCATGCCAAGAGTGGGTTCCTGGAGGTCAGTACTGTTTCGTGACAACCAAAGCTCACTGCAGGTAGACCTGGCACCCTTTGGGAGGTGTTCTATGACTGATGGTAAATTGCTTGCCCATTGTCTGATATCGAACCCTCCTTCTGCAAGCAATTGTCTCAAGCTGTCAATCACGTCCTTAGCCTTTGCGGGATCTGGTGTGCTGTAGAGACAATTATCTACATAAAATGCCTGTGACACAATTGCTGCCAAGTCAGGATTATCTTCTGCATGTTCTTGGGCATGGTGCTGGAGAGCATAGATTGCACAACATGGACTGCATGTTGTTCCAAAGGGTAGAACCTGCCATTCATATATGGTAGGCTCCTGCTCTCTTTGCATGTTTCTCCAGATAAAACGAAGAACTGGTCGATCACCTGGAAGCAGGCGCACCTGGTGAAACATGCTTCGGATGTCACCACTGACGGCAACAGCGTGCTGACGGAATCGCAGGAGAACGCCTATCAAAGAAGGGCCAAGTGTTGGGCCTGGTAATAGCTGCTCATTAAGGGACAGACCCTGATACTGGAAAGAGCAGTTAAAGACAATTCTGTCCTTTCCATTATGGTGCACCATATGGTGTGGGATGTACCAGGCTTCTGTGGATTGACTGGCTTCTTCAGATGAGATCTTTGCTACATAACCTTCTGACTGTAGCTTGCGCATTTCAGAGCAGTATGTCTCTGCCAGTTTAGGGTTGCGAGCCAATCTGCGCTCTATCCTTCGAAGGCTGGGCAGCACCGCTTCCTTAGGTGCCTGAAGGGTTATGGTTGAAGAACGACGGAGCAGTGGGGTTGCATAGCGCTGGACTCCATCTATCTCAACCCTCTTTGTAGCTGTCTGCAATAAGGTGATGGCCTTCTGGTCTAGCTTTGATCTAGTTACTGTCTTTTGGCAGTATGGCAAAGTGTCAACCTGCCACAGCCGTTGCACATTCTGGAGGAGCTCTGCCTGGGACGTAGCTGAGGTGAGATGTAGACACTGCTGTCCTTCACGTGCAGTCTGCATGGGTGTTATTGGGCCTTGTAGTGACCACCCAAGTCTGGTACACACAGCAACTGGTCCTCCTTTAGGTCCCTGACGGATAGGCTGGATAGGAGTAATTAAGTGTGGCATATCAGATCCAATGAGGAGTAATGGTTGCACTCCTTCGACCAGCTGCAGTGGTAAACCCTTCAGATGTTTATACATTTTCTGAAGGGCTGCTACTGGGTAGTTGTGCTCAGCCAGACTCAGCCTACCTGCAGAGAAAGCATCAGAGATTGGATATCTTTCAGAAGGCTTGGAGAAAGGGGACACTTCAAATGAGACGGTCAGTCCCTCCAGCTGATGGACATCCTGATGAACTGTCTGCAATGGCAGTGTCTCATGTTGCCCTGCAATCTTAAGGTGTTTAATGACAGGTGAGAGAACAATTGTTCGTTCTGATCCATCGTCTAGGACTGCATAAGCCTCCATAGATCGGTCCCCATTATGAATCAGAATCTTCACCACCTTTAGCATAACCCGCTGTGAGCGGTTAGGGCGGTCGATGTAAACCTTAGTGGGTGCTGAGCTCACCATCAGGACTGTACTGGATGAGTCACTTATTGCATCGTGAAGAACTGTAAGGTGAAGCTCCCTGCAGGCTTTGCATGGACGTTTAAGGTTGCAGTCCTCCACTCTGTGGTTGCGACCACATTTCTGGCATCGGCCTCCCTCTTTTATCCAAGTGATGATCTGATGGGTGCTAAGCCTTTTGAAGCTTTCACAAGAGTTTAGAAAATGTTCTTTGTTATCACAATAGGGGCAATATGGCTTCGGTTTTGGGTTTCGCTTTGAGAACCAGGACTCAGCCTTCGACATTTCGCTTTTTACTGTGTGGAGAACAGGTACTGACCTTTCCGTTGAGTAAAGGGGTTTATGCTCCCTCCGGGTCGGTTTTGGCGGCTCAGTCTGGAATAGGGCAGCAGCACGACTAGAAATACGTTTCGCCTGCGACTTAACCTGTAACCAGACGGCCAAGTCAGGGAGCGTATAGGTTCTGTCTGTACCCGATTGTAGTATGCCCCGGCTGAGACAATACTCTACAAAGCTGTCTCTTTAGGAGGCTGGCATTTTGCTTAGCAGCCGGTCAACGTGGGACCCACACATAAGTTCGTAGCCATTTTGTCCCTCAAGAGTTTGTAGCATGCCAACTAAAGACTGAACTGAAAGAGCGAATGAGTCGAAGGCCTGAGCTTCACCCATCTTAAGTGATGGGGTATTGAGGATTGCACCTAGCTCTGATTGGACTAGCTGTCTGGGCTGACCGTATTTCTCCTGCAGTGCCTGCAGAGCTGCAGTGTACGGCTGTGAGTGATGCATGTAAGCCTTTGCTAGCTGGAGAGCACTAGGAAGTTTTAATTGACCAATCAGCACCTGAAATTTATATTGCTCACTTAGATGGATGTGGTTATTCAGCAAATTGTCTAGTGCCATTTTGAGTAGGGCAAAATCACTCTCACGACCACTGTCAAACACTGGCAGTGTGGGCCTTGGAATCCCATAAGCAGATGCAATGAGCAGGTCAGTTCCGGATTGTGGTGCTAAACCAGGGAGGGGAACTGCTGCTGGGATTGTCTGGCTGTTACTGGGAATGGCCGTTGCCGTCCTAGGGTCTGACTGTGTAGTTAGTGAAGGCAGTGAATGTGTGAAGTGAGTGAGCCGTGGTTCTGACTGTAGCCCTCTGGTCACTGAGTTGGGGACTGGATTTGATGGCATGAGGTTAGACTTCTGATCTTGATTCATAGTCTGAGTGACAGGACTAGCTGCTGACGCACAAGCACGAGACGGCAGAGGCTGGTCAGGGTTCTGAAACATGAGGGGAATGCTAGCAGGCTGAGTGCTGGGGCGTCTGACCATATGTGCTCCTGAAGGTGGTGAAACAGACTCCCCTGGATGCAGTGGTTGGTCAGCGGAGTTGGTTGCTACTAGCTGAGCTGATGGTTGATGGAAACTCGCTTGTGGAGAAGCAGGTTCAGAGGGAACTATGTTTTCGTCGGATACAACCATGGACGTAACCAATCTCGCCAGTTCTAGGTCAGACTCTGCCTGCTTCAGGCGTCGGTTCCTGTCTAGCCTTTTAATTAAAGCCTCTTTTGCTCGGAGGGCCTCCTCTTGGGCGTGCTGTGCTGCTCTCATCCTAGCCTGTATCTGTTGGTCTTCTACATCGGCCTGTAAATCCTCTTCAATTTCCTGACGGAGGCAATCAAGCTGGCGCCGCTTAATGTTTTCCTCCAGAAATGCAGCTTGAGCAGGTGAGAGATCGTGCTGTGGGTAAAACCCGGTGGAGAAGCTGCTGTGTCTTCCAGACCGAGAGGTAGAGCTGGTTATGGTGCTAATTGTTTTCCTTGTGCTGCTCCTGTGCTTGCTTCTTACAGTGTGAGAAGGTGTTGCAGGATGAGCATGAGGGGCATGGTAACCAACTACATAGTCCTCTAGGTGAGATGGGAGACGGCTTTCTCTATGGGGTCTGCCTTTGGACTGTCCTGCTTCTGAAGCTGCATCATCCATGGTGTTATATTGTTACTTCAATCCGGCTCGAAGGACCAATTTTAATGTAGAAAACCCTTCTACATTTAAGTTAAGGAAGGCTGATTGAAGTGGCACCATGGATGGGAGATTCCGGTTAGAGAATCAGGAGACTGGAGATAATGTTCGGCAGCTTTAATATGGCTCCAAAGACAGAACATGGTCCATAACAGGCTGAGATGCATAAGTACATGTGAAACACATGTTACATGCTGAGCTCATGGAGCATATGAGTATGGTTTGTAAAAAGGAACAAACATAAAAGTGCTTATGAGCCAAATTAGGATTTCACTAAACATTTCAGCAAACAGCTACAGAAATAAACAAACAATTAACCAAAATCCCAGCAATCCTCATACAAACACTGCTGGATCAGTAGCAATAACACAAGCCATGCAACTTCAAATACAGCAACTCAAGGCAGCAGCAGCATTAACTGAACTACTATTAGCAACAAATGCTAACCAGCGCTAGCAATCACAGTAGCTTACCAGAACAGCAAGAAACACCGAAATACGGTGCAAATTACTGATTCACACTACAATTAGATTAAAGCAGAACATGTAAAGAGTAAAGTTATATCTAAAAGGCACTTACTTTATTTATTACGCACACAAATATCCACCATGAAGAAATAAAGATTCGGCGCGCGTCACACTAATAGCGGTCCGGGCGGAAACAAGAAACTAAATTAGGTTCTCCCTCAGTCTTTCTAACAGGGCCTAAGAATCTTCAGCAGCATACAGACTTGGTAGTAAAAAAGTTTAACCCATATCACCTACCTCTAGTACAGTAAATTGTCAAAATGACGCTTCAGTTATGTAGGCAACATGAAAAGTCTTATATTCATACATGCTATTAACAAAGCAAAGTGTTTTTAGGGGTGAGGTGTCCTTTAATGACCACTATAAACCCATTTACCCGACAGGAATTCAAAGAAGAAAAAATAAACAAGCAAAGATTACAATTCATGCTGAAATTGATTATGCATTTGCTCCTTTCGGCGTCCATCTGCCTCTAGGTTTTTTTTTTTTTTTTTTTTTTTTGAATCAATGTGTCGTAAGGTTAAAAAAATATCTTAAAATTTAAAGGATATAAAAAACATTTACAGCATCAGAGCTAGTACAATTGAATCATACTTACGTGGGTGCGCATTAGTCTCGAGCCTTCTCTGATCCGGGGCAAGCCAGGCCCACCTTTGAGGTAAAACAAAAGCTTAAAAAGGTAAGGCTAACCCACCTGGGCAACACACATGTTTATATATCAATAAATTCATAGACTAATGTCACATTCTCTCTGACAGAGAATGATTGAATCGGTTTTGTTGAATTAAACGGTTAAACCATAGTAGCTGGTTAGCTAACACGCGAATCCTCTCCAATTCCTGGTAAATGAAACTCAAAATAATGAGTTTTGGAAATGGTCCTTCTCACCTCGAACGATTTCTCTCCTTTTTGGCATAGCTTCCGTTTACTTTCAGCGCACAAGCTCAGCATCTGTCCTCGTTGAGCCTTTGTTTTCTGCTGGGTCTGTCCTGCTGTGGAAGTTTCTGCTTGCAATGCGGAGGAGAAGCCTCCCGTGTCTACTGCTAGTTCTTCTTCTTCTTCCTGCAGAATAATTGGCGGTCGACAAAAAAATGAAAGGTGTGCATTACCGCCACCTACTGTGCCATACCGCCACTGTTCTATCTGCTCTCTAATTATTTCCCACCAGACACTTCACTATATTTAACACTCTTTTACATTTATCTAGAATTGTTTGTATATTTCATTTTAACTGTTCATCAAACCAAATTCTTAAAAACTTGTTCTAATGATTAATTAATTTTATTAAACTCTTTGTAATTATTTTATGAGTAAAAACCATTACTTTAATTTTCTTAAATGTCCTTTTTCTTCCTCGAAGGACAGTAAGATGTTGCTGCATTACACTGCCAACAACTGCAACAATAAGAGTTGCTGAATATCTTTGGCGCACTAAATAAATGATTTACTTTATATTTATAGTTCTGATAAATGAAATATCTGCAAAGGGATAAGCACATTTTGATACTTAAATTAAATACCTTTAACTGTTTTATTTCTGGGATGACTGTGTGTGCTGTAAGAGATGGAAAACATTTAACATCTATTGTAATGTGACCAAACATGCATCAGAATCAGGTCTTGGGCTGGCTAGCTGTACAGAATAATTCACCATGGTAACTTATGTTTTATTACTGCTTTTATGAAACCAAATAGAGGCTTCCTGGCTTCCTTGATTTTTATAATTTTTATTATGCTAAAATCATCCCGGGAGAGTTTGGTACAGTACACATTATTTCATAAAAGGTGAATGACTGACTTTATTTCAAATAATGCATTTCATGAAAGGTACATAGAAATATGTGCACAACGATTTATTAAAATATTTTCACCATTTAGTACTCTGTTCAAAGCAAACAATTCTTAGGGAAAACCAATTATCTTGGACAATAAGGATTGGAAATAAAGTTTATTTTTTTTAATGAGCTGCCTTTATGTTTGCAGAATTTTATAATGCAACCTCCTGATGTTATTTAGTTTGGTGTTTTGTCAATATAAGTTTACCCAGCTCTAAACTGACAAACGGGAAATCCAGGTTTATGTATTTTTTTTTTTATTATTTAATAAACATCTAAACAAAGAAACACGTGACAAAAAAACAACAAAAACATGTATATATATATATATATATATATATATATATATATATATATATATATATATATATATATATATATATATATATATATATATACATTTAATTTACAGTATCGCTAAAAGGTGTTAGGGTTTATTATTTATACATCATGTGCACTGTTAATTTGTTTGTCAGATTAGACAGAGCAGAAGGCCTTCCTTCACATTGTGGATATCACGGTGTGTGCGGAGGTCATCTAATCAAGACAGCCTTTGTGTCTCTAAGAGTACAAAGGATATGGGCACATCTTGGAGCCGGTCTGATAGGAGAGCTGCTGTATCTGTAACCCTGAGACAGAGAGGCAACCTGCATGGAGTTCAAGACATGGATGGCGTGTCAGTTTCTGATACGGACAGCTAAGCATCCACATGATGTGACACAGACTCAGAAGGTATAAGAAGCAGGTGATGACGTTGTTCGGGGCTCAAACTTTGCCGGACGCTTGCGGACGTGATTTTTGAGACCACAGCTGTGCATAGCTCGAAGCATTTTTCTCTGTCCTGTAACGACCTGATCTAGAATAAACTCTGTTACTTTTTTACTCCTGTTTTTATAGTCCTTTTTTATATGGTTTTGACGAGTTTGAGTTAAGAGTAGTAAATAACTTGCTCCCAGGAAAAGAACCGTGTGAGGAGGCCCCGGGGCGTTACAGCCTTTACTTTGAAGGGGACAAATCCTTCTCACTTTAACAAATTGGTGTTTCCGCCCGTGACCTGGAAGCAAAACAACAGAGCCACCGACGGAAAAAGCTCCACAGCCTGCGGCCGAAACAACTGATAAGGTGAGGAGATTCCTTATTACAAAATATCTCCAGTGTTTTTACTGTTAAAACACTTTGGCTGTGTTGTGATTTTCTGAAGTGAGCTGAAGCTTTTTATGCAAAAGAGGACAGAGAAATTGCTCAGAGTGATTTTAGTTTTTGTTTTTGCGGTTTTTGTTTTGTTGTATTTGTTGGTTTTTAATTTTTTTTACATTGCGAACGTGTACACATAAAAAAAAAAAGAAAAAAAAGGAGAGAGAGAGAGAGAAAGAAAGTCGTGCGTTCTGCTGTGGGTAGCGGTTGAAAGTCCGACTGAAGGCGACTGCGCAAACGTCTTCAAGAACTATACTGCTCACTAGGATAAGTTGGTTGGAAAGCCCAACGGTTTCTGCATGCAGAAAGGGACGGTGATTTTATTCCCGGTCTGCCTGCAGACACGAAAGATGCACTTCTGAAAACAGACGCACAGACAGAAACCAGTCACATAGCCGGCTGGAGTTTGCCAGTATACCTCCCATAAGGACATTTACGAAAAACCGAGACTGGAAATAAGCGAGCGGGTCAGGTTGAAACGGACCTTTTGAGGTGTTTTTCTCTTTCCTTCTCTTCTCTTATAAAAGGAAAAGAGAGAGACGATAAAATGATATTCCTCATAAAACTAGAAGAGACTGATGCCCGGATTAGGTAACTTGTTTGTCTAGTCCTAAAAGTTGGTGGAGTGAACTAGGCGGAACTATATCTAAATCTTTTCTTTTCTCTAAATTTCCTTTCTTTTTTCCTTTTCACTGACGGACGTATTTCTTTGACGGACGCACTTCCTTAGCAGAGAAGCGGCTCACTGAAGTTTATAGGTAAAAAGTTTAAAGCACCGAGGGATCTCACGTAAGACGTCGAGGTCTAATTTTATACACTGTGTGAACGGAAGGTGTAAAAGATGGATGCATGTGGACTAGAAAATTGAATCCAGAAACACCTCGTTAAAAGCGAGTCTGGATAAAGGGAGAAATATGATCATGGCGAGTTATCCATTGAAGGATGCAGAACACCACATTAGAAAATTTGATGAATGGGTTGAAAAAATGAGAGAAGATGGAATGTTTGGGGAATTAGAGGGGCCCCCCCCCCAAACACTTCACAACATGGTTTTTATTTGGATACACTAAAATATAGATTGTCACAAGCTCGTGAAAAAATGGCTGGTGCTGGTGTGTTCGGACGAGACAAACACCAGAAGGTAGAAACAAAACTTTTGGTTTTGATTAGACAAACCAAGTTCAATTTTAGTAACAATTTTTCTGACAAGGACCCTGAACAGGAACAGGTGGAGCAAAACGGGGCTCAGGGAGGTGAGCAGGCACTCGACACTTCAGAGGGTAAGAAAAACCTTTCATGAGTACATCTAATATTGCAGAAACAGAGCCTATTATGGACCCCAGTCCACACCAAGGTGTCAGAGAAATATTTCGTAAGGCTGGTGATGCAATGTTTCCATCAAACCCATGTGTGCAGATGCCTGTTATGGAGTTGCGTGAAGGTCAGATAAATTGTGAAATAAGGCCTACAGAGGAAGAATTGGGACAAGAGGTACGAAAGGAGTTTCAGATGCAAGATTTAATAGAGGAGGCGGTAAATAAAGCATTTCAGCATTTCAGTTCCTATTGTTATGAAAATGTCGATGTTTCTGTGATTTTTGGAGGTGAACCTTCGAAAGGAAAGCTTAAAATATAAGAGGTTGATATATTTACAATTTACGATGTCTTGAAATTAACATTTTAAAGGTAAGAAGATCAATTAGTACATTTTCAGTGCGGTAAACCCCAACCCCGGCCCAACATTGAGCTCCAGAAGGTGGATCACACAGAGCAGCCTTTCACTTAGAGGCAGGAGAGAAAGGAAAAAGCAGACACAGAGAGACTGAGTGCACACAGGGCCGATCACAGCAGAAGCAGGGCCCAGGAGTCTAGAAGCAGTTTTTACCTTAAAGACATCTACCAATTACTACACTAGAATGGTATTGTAATCTGCATTTAGAGTGACTGATTCAGGAGCTTATATTTGAAAATGTTAGACCACACAAGCTAAGTTTGTCAAACTTTAGCAAAGTGAATATAAATTAAACACTGATCACTGAGGATACTCTAAGGTGGATTAAATGGATCTTTACTCAGTCAACTGTTCAGAATAGAGTGGGTTACATTAAACAGATAAATTAGGACGGTTGAGTTCAGTGGATAAAAGAGAGGCAGACAGCAGTAGATGAAATGGAGGGTGAGTTGGATAGAGAAGGGGAGAAATGGGCAAAGAAGATCGAAGTGCGGGTTCAGTAAGAATTAGAGAAAGGAAGTCAATGCAGCAATACTAGGGAGGCCGGGATCCCACAAGTTGTGTAGTTATGGAGGTGGTTTTTGAGAAATTTCCAGCAGCAGTGATAGATATTTTGATTGAGGGCAGCAACTGTCCTTTTATGGTTAATACGGGGGCCAGATACAGCCCCATGAATCTTTATGTGCCCACCTGCCAAAAAACTACACGGGTAATGGGATTTTCAGGAGAAAAACAAAACATACCACTTTTTCAGAACCCCTTAGAGGTGTTCTCATATTTGAAAATTCAAACATGTCATTTTTGGGGGACGTTTAGAATTAAAAATCATTGGGTGTGAAAAGTTATTTTGGTGTCTAACGTGAGCAAATAAATCTTAGGTTTCCATAAATGTGCACATATAGTTTAACAAGGATCCTAAAATGAGGCTGAAAAGCACTGGTGCAGAGGTCTTAAGACCGGACTGGTGAAAAGATTATGACTTTTGTTTAAATTGGGAAAAACAATCCTCTAAGAAGATAAATCTACATTGATACTGATGGATTAAACAAACTTTATGTGGCCAATGTCTGTCTGTCTGTCCTAAATGTGGAATGCATGTGAGGTAGAATGTGTGTGGTCAAGTTGGGAATGATTAAGAATATTTTTTGTTGTGACATTAACATGATTTGCATTTTTACAGGATTGAGAAGGAGCTCTGGGGGCATAACAGAAGGGTAATCGTATCAAACAGGTTGCTCAGGGGCCCCAACTATGAGAGGCCCTGACAAGACCAGAGCAGGTTGCTGTTGTAGGGTGTGAGGTAATTTTTGGGTGTGGAGTGCAGCTGAGATACTGTAGATTAATGGATTATAGGAAAAATTAAATATATAAGTAACTATCCAGAAAGAAGCAGAATGGGTGTTTTTACTTTTTGGGAAACTAAAATCTCAGACGAGGGCATTACATGATTTTAATTTAAAGGTAGTTTCATTTTCAATCATTAGAATTGCATTAGAGATTGATTAGTTTCACTTTTCTCTCATTAGGATTTCATTAGAGATTGATTAGGAACAGGATATAGCAAACTTCGAGCTGGAACTGGACACAGCATATGGCCAAGATACCCGCAGGAGCTCAGCAGATTAGCGGGGTCAACTTTTATAAACAAGGCTGGAGAGTTAAGAACAATTTCGGCGTGACCTGACCCTGGGTTTTTTCAGCCTTCAGTTTTTATCCATAAGTATTTTTATCTGTGTATAATGCCGCTTGGAAACTGCCTAGGCACGAACTGATTAATTTGAATCTCTAATCATTACTAACACTTTTCACTGTTCATCTGGGCCTTACCTTCTTTGCATGACTTGTTAAATTCTGCTAACTTTACAAATTTCTGTGAATGAAGTGATTAACTATTGACTAATTGATGAACTTTTTGATTGCTTTTTCCTGGTAACAAACCAGAGGGGTCATTTACTTTTTCCCTGCTTGTAGAGAGTGACAGTGCGGCTGTCAGGGAGCAGGCATGATAATTCAGAGGCCCATTTAAGGAGGATCAGGAGATCGTTTTGCTTAAACATGTTCCTTTTTTTCTTTTTCAGGCTGTGTTTGTAACAATCCTTAAATGTTAACATTTTTTCTTCCAGGACAGGCTGACAAAAGTCTCATCCTTCATTGTGTTTTGTTTAAGATGTGCATTAACCCTTATTTTCCCAACAGCTGCAGAAGTTCTGGCATGTGAAATGGACAACTTGGCTGAGAGTGACTAGAGCAAGAGAGAGAGAGGGTTTCAGATAGTTGAAAACTTTTTGATAGGAGGATTTGAATAGGTTCGAACTGACTGGACTGACTTGGTTAGCAACTGGACTGGATCGGAACCATGGATCAGGACATGAGAGAGATGGTGTGAGAATGCAGCATGCCAGAGACAGGGTGTAGAGATTGTGGCTGCATGTTTTGTTCCCGGCTGAAGGCCATTCTGGTGAGCTCTGAGTTTGTTTTAATTCCTCTCTGGTTCTGATATGACCTATGAGGTACAGATTGATGTGGTGGTTTGAAGCTCACAGACTTTTGTTGGGGTGGAACATTAAGAGCAGTCATGCTGAAAGAGGCATTTAACGAATGACAAGATGAACCAACAACTATTTGGAGGAGTCGGAGGCACCACTGGGGTTTTTGTTGTCTTACATGTTTGTCGTTGTTTGTGTCTGTATGTTTGTTTGTTTTCTGTTTTCTGTTTGTTTACTAACATCTTAGCCTTTATGAAAAAAAAAAACACACAAAAAAAGACGTGGCACGCATGTTAAAATTTTTTGAATAGTTTTGACTACACTACGGATGGGAATGTTTCAAAATGAACAATGGATCTTTTTGTTTGGAGAGACATTGGACACTTTCTTTCTTGAGTCGCAGGATGGATTAACCTACAAGGGGCACAGAGACTAACTTTGCTCCTAAACTTCAGAAGGAGGGATGGTGTGCAGCTGCTGAGATGCAGACATTAAGGAAATGACTGGATGCCCACTGCTTTGGACGAGAAAAGAACACTGGCAGTGATGAGTTGATGGAAGGTCATGGGATCATCGGACAAGACGGATGAAAAAAAAAGATAAGTGAACTGACACACCAGATTTCTTGTTCACAATGAAAAACTATGCTAAATTTTTCTTTATATCATCAGGGGGTGGGATATTCTTAAATAGAGTAATAAAAAAGAGGATTTAGAGATGTTTTACTATGTGATAAATTAGACTGGGTTTTTTTGATAAATAGTTTGGTCAGTTGTTAATTAGCATAATATTATTAAAGGGACAACAAGTTGAAACTTTAACTTTTGGGAATGGTAAAGTTGCATCAACAGAATGCAATTTAGGAGAAATTAGAACATTTTAGGAGCAAATGTTTAAAGCAAATGACGGTTTCTTTCAATATAAGCAATAACGATGAAGACTTATAGTGTTAATGAGCTTATGGCGATTCAATATCAGGCCCAGGGACTAAAACTTCACCATTTATTTTTTATTTTTATTTTATTTTATTTGTTTTGATTAATTTTATTTGTTTTTTGTTTGTTTTTTTTACTGCAAGCAGAGTTATAAATAGCATTTGAGGGGCTAGATACAATTTGGGGGATGGGTAACCATACTTTTAATGCATGAAGCAATAACAACACCTGACTTTACTTCACTAGAGCTGAAATTAATACTTTAGAGGGGATGCACACTTTAGTGTTTAGTTTATTTGAGAGAACACATATGAGAAGAGATTATGTTTCCTGCACATTTTTGGATCTGGTCAGGGGTCCAGATATGACAACTATTTACTGGTTCTGGGGATATTGGAACAGATTTTCTTTTTCTTGTTTTTATTTTGTTCTTTGTTCTTTGTTTTTGTTTTGTTTGTTTTTTCTCATCGGAGCACTGCTTTTTGGAGAATATTTTAAATGGACTATAGCTGGACACTTTGCATAGAGGGGGTGCAGTCGAATTCAACACCTTCGGGAACTGTGTACTGCTGGGTTTTGGGAACGCAGCAGCGAGTCAGAGTACAATCCTGTGCTCTGAGCAGATGAACAATTTAATATGACATTTCCTCTTGAAGGGAGGAACACCTTTGACGCACTGTTTCCTTCTACCTCTATGTGATACTGCTGATGACACAGGTAAAGACTTATCCTTCAGGGGGTGTGGGGACACATGGCCCCAAGACTCTTATGGTTCAAAGCTGCTGTGGTAACAGAGGGAAACCTGATGGACTTGTCCGAACATCGAACTTTTTGCATGTTGGAGAGGATCACTACTCCAAGAAACACTTTTTCTTCCAAACCAGTAGCGGGATGGCTCCTGACCAGTTTCCCACGTATAGATCCACTCACATAGACAAACACACATACTGTCACGTAACAACACGCCCACACATGGTTAACGACTCGAAGAACACAAGGATCCACATGGGAATGGGGGTTTCTTTCATGCACTAACATTCACGGATACAAGGTCTGGTGGGGGAGTTTTTAATAGGGGGAATCTGCGCCAAGCTGGGTTTTGTCCTTAGAGATTAAAGAACTTCTAATAATTTTCTGGGGAGGGTGTAGCAGTAAACTAAAATGCGGTTACAAGTTTAGACGAAACTAAAACTTAATATGCTATGATGTAGAAATGGTTTTAAAATTCATTTATTTAATCCATGAATTGAGTGTTACAATGTGTAAAAAAGGGTTAAATGTTTTCTAAATATTTACAGGTTCCTTGAATTAGATTATATTAGTTGCAGTGATTTTGAGCTTATATGAACAAAAATGATGAGCTGAAACATCCATAGGATGTTCAGGCTGAATACATACTGGTATAAATAACTTTCAACTGCCAGGCATTGAAAGGTAGGTTATGTTTAATGTTTTTGGGGATTTCTTTTTTATTTATTTTTATTTTTTGTTTTTTGAATAGACACTGAAATAATCTGCTGAAAAAACACAGAGTCCATGGATAATTAATTTAAATGTAGTCAGTTTAATGGTGATTTAAGGGATAAAGGGAAAGTAATTGTGGATAAGAATATCTGGTTGTGACTGCACTTAGATTTTGAGTGAATAAGGAATTGCTCATTGAAGACATTGTTTATCGTGATAAGAACACTGACTGCACTCTCTGTGTGTCGAAGGGTTCCCGGAGGAAAGGGTTGATGAACTGTGATGAGAACAGCCCATGAGAACCACCACATGGATTCAGCATCTATCGGCCGCTGGACTGCATGGAGAACAAAGTGGCCGTGGAGGAGGCCATACGAGACTCTGATTGATTAATTTGATTGATGAGTGATAGAGACACTGAAAGAATTCATTATCATCAGTGATATTCACCATTTGTTTTTAACTCGGACCAGGATAATTCTTGATTTAACCTAATTGTGATGTATATGTTTTGATTTATTTTGATTTTGTTTTGATGAAAATCATGGAAACATTTTGCTCCAGACCCACCAAGATCACGTTTTATGCCACTTTTTTCTTTGATGTAGAAAGACTCTGAACCTTACAGGTTCTTTAAGTAGTTGGTCAGATTCAAAACGGGGTTTTCTTGCTCAAATTGGCCGAGAGTGGGATTTCCCCGGGGTCACCCCGGTTTTTACTACCTTTTAGAGAGGGTAGCGTTTTCCGGTGGAGAACGGCCCAACCTGTCCTGTGACGTCCCCTACTGTGACTGAATGATTGGTAAAGTTGAATAGATGGTTTATCCATGAGGAGCGGTCACATTTAGGAGGCCTCCCGGTGGGAGTGAGAGTAGATGAATTTGGCCTTATTAGATTTATAGGCTTAGGTTATCTACTCTAAGGTAACTTAAAATAATGTGCGCATAGGAAACTAAAACAGCTTTCCTTTAATTAGATGACACCCAAATTGTAGTTAAATGCTGAAACTGTGGTCTTGAGTGAGAACATTTGGTCTGTGAAGCTTTGATTGTGATTACTTTTGATTCCTAATTAATGATACTTGACTAATTATAGATGCTCTCTGGGTCACCCGGTCCTTCGAAGATGTGCCGCTTCCTGTGTTTTTTAAGTTACCTGTAAAAACGGTAACTTATCAGGGGGAGTTGTTAGGGTTTATTATTTATACATCATGTGCACTGTTAATTTGTTTGTCAGATTAGACAGAGCAGAAGGCCTTCCTTCACATTGTGGATATCACGGTGTGTGCGGAGGTCATCTAATCAAGACAGCCTTTGTGTCTCTAAGAGTACAAAGGATATGGGCACATCTTGGAGCCGGTCTGATAGGAGAGCTGCTGTATCTGTAACCCTGAGACAGAGAGGCAACCTGCATGGAGTTCAAGACATGGATGGCGTGTCAGTTTCTGATACGGACAGCTAAGCATCCACATGATGTGACACAGACTCAGAAGGTATAAGAAGCAGGTGATGACGTTGTTCGGGGCTCAAACTTTGCCGGACGCTTGCGGACGTGATTTTTGAGACCACAGCTGTGCATAGCTCGAAGCATTTTTCTCTGTCCTGTAACGACCTGATCTAGAATAAACTCTGTTACTTTTTTACTCCTGTTTTTATAGTCCTTTTTTATATGGTTTTGACGAGTTTGAGTTAAGAGTAGTAAATAACTTGCTCCCAGGAAAAGAACCGTGTGAGGAGGCCCCGGGGCGTTACAGCCTTTACTTTGAAGGGGACAAATCCTTCTCACTTTAACAAAGGTAAACATAGTTCAAAGTTATTTGTTTGAATAAATTAAATTAGGGGAAATGTATGTATATTGATCCTGTAAATAAAGAACTTCGTCAAAAGCAAAACAAGATTTACAAAAGTGTTTTTGTTGTTTTCACGTTTCAAATCTTCTATTTCCGGGGTATTTGAAAATATTTCCTAGCAACGCTCCTAGGTAACGACGTAGCGGAAGCGCGCCCAGCATGGCGGACTGTCATCTTTAACAACAACAAAAACAAAACATGGAGCCACAAGAGGTAATAATATTATGTAACTTCTGTTTAAATCGCACAATAGGAGATGATAATTATGCGGTTCTTTATTACATCTCCGTCTCACCCGTAAACCGGAAGTTCCAGTTAACAGTTACATAGCTAACTGCTAACTACTGCTAGCCTGTGAGCTAACTGTTACTATTCAGCTCACTCTAAACATAACATTGCGCGCTGATTATTTTGAACAGAAGTCAGGATACCCAGTAACTTGTTACTTCAGTGTTTACATTAAATCGTCGTTAGTAGAATGTATTACTTTGCTGTAATCAATGCTGTTTGTTCTGAACAACTCATACTACCTGTCCGTTGGTTAATTAATATTTTTGCAATGCAACTGCTGGACGAAACATATCTTGTAGACGGACTAGACTAATGTAGGGTTGCCTTTGTTTGTTTTTAAAGTGGGCTGAGGGTAAACACAGCATTCTCCCTCTCTTACATGTTTTTTTTTTTTTTCTCCTTCTTTTGTGGTCATTAGAGACCCTAAAACCTGATGATTGGGGGGTAGTAAAGTACTTGGGGCCCCTAGTTGCATGGAGTTCAAACCTTCTGTTTGGAGCCCCAATAGATGCTGGTGTTGGATGGTGAAGCTGGAGCCAATAATGACAATCACAAGCAGTGTCTTCTTAAATTTAATCTAGTATGACATTTTCCTTTATAGCCTTCAATCTGGTTAGTTTCTGCACTGGGTTAGCAAGAAGGGCCAAGGTGTACGGTAATTCCTAGGATTGTGTCTCTCTGCTAAAAGTTTTCATCTAAAACTACTGTATGTTAATTGGTTTCTCTAAATCTGCCTTGTTAATATGAGTGTTTGCATGGTTTGTGTATCTCTATGTGATACCTTGCGTGGAACTCGACCAAAATTAATGGTTTCTTTTTTTCCTTATATCGGTACCAGCCGATACATGCATATGTTTACCTTTTCTTTAGTGCGTTCAGCTGCCATGCTTTGAGATCTGAATGACATGCATCCCTGCTCCCTCCATATGTTGTTAATGTTTGGTTTAATTTGTTAATACATGATTATTTTTTCTTTACACCCAGACTTGTGTAATAATTGTTATTGTCTCATTTTTATCATTAAAATTAAGGAAGAAAAAGAAATATGTATCGGCTCTAATAACTTCCTAAAAATATCGGCAGCACGTATGGGATCAGGACGTCAATGCCACTTTCTGCTAGTATGGTCTGTAATTGTGCGATTGGTCAGCTTTAAGGCGCTTTAGACTGTCTGATTGTACAGGTTTTTGACTGCTGTGAGATGGGATTTTTTTTTCTTCTGCAAGGATTATTGTTGCAGCTTTCCACCTCCTTCTGACACAGCAGATCTTGCTCTTGTTGAGGTGCAGAGAGATAAAACTTATCTCGCTTTTTGATTCTGTTTACAGAGGGCGGTGGCACCTTCTCATTGGCTGGGTGATGAAGCTATGAGTCGACCTGAAGGAGGTACAGAACCATCAAAAGCCGGGAATCAGAGGAGGGATGGAATAAAAACAGATGAGTGGAGGCTTCAAAGGTCACAGCATGAAGCTCTGCACCTAGGTATGTTTCTCAGATATAATGAAAAAACATAACCCAACTAAAGGAATTAAAGGGTTCATATTTTGTTTTTAATGAGGAATTGAAGCATAGACGGCTGGAGATAGGCACCAGTACCCCTCGTGAACCCACTTGGGATAAGTGTGATGGAAAATGGATGGATGGATGAATGTATAAAATACTCTATGGTCAAAAAGAATCTTGTTATGACAGTGATGATTTATCTGATTGTTTAGTTTCCATCAATCCAGATGAGTGACTTTCAGACTTTTTTCATCAGATTTCCAGGACAGCAATTTGTCTCCTGCACTGCAGCTGCTGCCTTCGACATCCGGACTTCAGCACAGCGCCACCGACTATTCCCTCTACCAGCAAAGTTATACAGGCTTTGCTCCTTTAAGGTGAAAAACAGGGAGCTAAATATAACTAATACACTTCAATGGGTTGGGGCTCAAAATGGTAGAAATCGCTTAAGACAAAAAATCAAGACACTAAAGATGATTATTTTATTGCCCAGTGAAACCTCTTTAAATCGCCTAGAAGAAATAATTACACCCTTTTGCAAATTTTTGTCAAACTATTGAACTTCAAGCATTTTGTTGAGTTTTAAAGTAGAAGATAGACAGAGTCAGACAGAGTCTAATCATAAATTGAATTGTACCTCAATTGCTTTAACACCTTTGAAATAAATTTAACCAACAATACTAACCTGTCCAAAGCTAATCTAATTATAAAAGGGGTAAAAATTCAGTTTGGATGAGAGCAGATTTAAATCTGTTGCCCTATAGTAAAAAATGCTATTGGGGGTCCATATCTAATAAAATAACTTTAAGAAGCCCACATTGAAGCATGGTGGTGACAGCATCAGACAGCTGGATTTACGATGGTTTAGATCAAATTGTTTCTGTGTTAGAATGACTCTGTCTAAGTGCACACCTAAATCCTACTGAAATTTTTATGTTGAACCAACTTAAAAAAAAATACTCTACTTTGTTGCAGCTGAATTTTTTTATTTACGGTAAACCAATCTTCCTCATTTGAATTAAGTCAAAAATATCTGATTTCTGAGTAATTAATGTACATTGACAAAAAAGTGAAGTCGTATTTGTTTCAAAGAGTAAATGTTTTTGTATGATCCAATATTTCACTCTGGTCAAACTAAATTTTTTGACGCCAGACAGTAATCTTTAGCATCTAGAATTATTTCAATGAGCAGGTGAGGTTTGTTTTTCATTGTTTCTTTAACAAACTAAGAACCTGAATCACCATAAGTATTTTTAAAATGTCTCCGTTTGATATCAGACATTTTACTAGAAAACCACATCTGCTAACTTGCTCATTATTTGGCAGGGCTGGCCACACCCATTTTAAAATAGTCACTTAATAAAGTCAGATTCATGTAAATCATAGCAAGTGGTAATTTGAGATGTTTGTCTTTGACTTGAATTTGATATTTAATTGGCGACTAATTGTTCTATTTGATGTTTTTCCATGCTAAAGAATTTTATTTCCAGGCAAAGTTAAATTACTGGTTTCATCCATAAGTGCAAATTTTCATTTGGAACAATATCAACTTTTAATTTGACTAAATGATGTGAATATTTCACTTCTGTTAGTGTATTGGGAATCTGTGCTCACAAAAAACACATGAATGTTACATCTGTTAGTTTATTTGTAAAATATGTCGGTCCCAAACACAGTTGAAAGTTGTAACATAAATAAGCGTAAAAAAAGTTTCAAGGTACATTTTGTCCAGTTAGTGGAAGGATGATCAACTGTGTTTTTCTCCCCAGGGCTTTTCCTGATGTTTCTATAGTATCAGAGCGAGTCCACTCTCCTATCCATGACAGAACTACCCATTCCTCTGAGCAGGGTTCACTGTACCAGCACCCTTTGGCTCAAGAAACCCTCCTTTCTGAAGAAGGAGCAAAGAGTGTCTGTTCTCCATCTCAGCAAAGCATATCCACAGAAAAAAACCAGCAGCAAGAGGAGATGGCTCATCCTCTTCCAAGTGATGCTAAAGTCAATGCAGAAGAAATCCAATCAATCAAATGTGGCGGGTATGAAGGTCAAATCCATGAAGATGAAACCAACTTTCTGAGTAAAGGTATTCCTGCACATCAGCTTCTGGACCTGTTACAGAGAGAAGTTGGCATGCAGAGCAGCAGGAGCAGCAGCGCTTTTTCCTCTGAGTCACAGGCCGATATAAAAGTTTCTGGCTTTTGTTCAGATCCGCAGAATCACCTGGAGGCTTCCAAAGGCACCATGTATGAGAGACAAGGTCCACCGGGCGAAGCGGGTCCTTCCCAACGGCAGAGAAAGCACCAAGAGATCAGCAACATTACGATAGGTTCCCGCAGGACTCAGCCTGATGACAGTAGTGAAGAGCTGCACAGAGAGCTGCTCTCTGAGGCGCGGAGACTCAGCAGCGTGCAGGCAAACAAGGAACCAGAAGGTCTGCCACCAAATCAGCAGTCCACCACGCCATCTCTTGAGGAGCCACAAGCCAAACCGAGCGGGAAGCCGTTTTCAGGAGGTTCTGGGTGGATTTACAGAAAGCGGGACCTGCTGTCCTCCCAGAACCACGCAGGGAGCGACAGCTCCTACCTCGGTTTAATTCCGCTGTCTCAATCCACTCCAGGCTTTTTCTCTGCTCCTTTGAAGTTTAACAGCAAGGCTAAACTTGAACATCTCTCAGCCATAGAAGCTAATAAAGAGATCTTGTATGATTCCAGCGTTGGGCCAGAGTCAGTCGATGGCCGTCTACCAAACGCTGCTGACCAACAAGCTCACCAGGCCTCTGACAGAGTCCGTTCTCTCCCAAGTCTCAACTACCTGCAGAAAGTAGATGCCTGGAGGACAAAACAGAGTTCAGAGAGGACCCCGCCATTAGAAGGCCTGGAACTAGATGCACAATTTGGAGTTTCTCCTAAAAAGAAAGATGATAAGGCACAATCCAAAGTCCTGAATCAGAACCCTACTCATCTGGGTTCACAGGATACCACACAGATCCCCTCCTCTGCTCCATCACCTGGTTCCTCTCCAAGAAGGGGTGAGGCTGTGGGCGGAGCTCCCGGTGACCTAGACAATAAGGGATCTGCTGCGCCGCCCTCGGCCTCTCCCTTTGGCAGGTCACAGTCCCTCTCATCAATCAGCACGGTCGTCATGTCAGTAGACAAGCCCCAGCAGACCAACGGCGCCGCTCTGAGTCAGACAGACGCTTCTCCTCCGAGCACCGCCACTGAAGCTCCACCCCTCCACCACTTCAACCATGTCTCTGTTGATCCAGAACTTTCAAGTTCCCAGGATAGTTACAGAGAAATTAAACTAGGACCTTCTGTGGGAACGTCTTCTGTGGTTAGCCTTGAGCTAGATAATTATGCCCCCTATTGGACTCATAAGCGTCCAACATCATCGCCGCCTCCTTCAGGGTCTAAAGAGCTCAACATTGATGAACGTATTCCGGTAATCCTAATAATTGACAATTTGTTTTTTTTTCTTCTCTTCAAATTATATCTCGTTTTTTTATTTTTTATTTTATTCCAGTTTAATATTTATTCAAACATTATTTTCTGATCAGTTCTCTGTTATTTCGTTTTCTACTCTGGCAGTTATATCTTCAAAACCTGGGCATCGACCAGACCCCGTCCAAAATCCTGACTCCGTTCGTCCCCAGGGGGCCCATCAGGGAACCAGAATTTTCTCCAACAGATCTTTGTACAATTAAAGGATCTTCTGGAACCCCTTCGAAGAGCACCCAACCCTCTGAGGGTAACTTTAAACCAACCTTCCCTAAAAACTTGGTGTTCCATCAAGTAATTCAATGTTTTAGAAGCAACAATTAAGTCTAGAATAGTGATAGATTTAACATTTTAAACTTGATTAAAATCCTAGAATCCTGGTATGTTTTTAGGTCTGCAAGGATAAAGGATTGCCAAACAAGTTATAAGTTAAAATCTCTGTTATAATGTGTGTGGATTTCATTAGGGATCATGTGCAGCGGGGTATGGAGTGAATTTCATTCCATTATTGTTACAAGCAACAAAAACATGTTTTATGAATGGGAATTTGAAAATAAAAGCATTTTGTAAATCGAAATGTAGGGAAAAAAAGCACCATTAAAAAAAGATGTATAAATCAAGGGTTTGAGAGTAACTTTGATGTCAGAGTTTAGTCAGATTTCACTACAAGCAAACACTTACAGGTGCTGGTCATAAAATTAGAATATCATGAAAAAGTAGATTGATTTCAGTAATTCCATTTAAAAAGTGAAACTTGTATATTATATTCATACATTACATACAAACTCATATATTTCAGATGTTTATTTTGTTTAATTTTGATGATTACAAATGACAACAAATGAAAATCTCAAATTCATCATATCAGAAAATTAGAATATTACTGAAGACCAATAAAAACAAAGGATTTATAGAAATGTTGGCCAACTGAAAAGTATGAACATGAAAAGTATGAGCATGTACAGCACTCAGTATTTAGTTGGGCCTCCTTTGGCCTGTATTACTGCAGCAATGCGGCGTGGCATGGAGTCGATCAGTCTGTGGCACTGCTCAGGTGTTATGATAGCCCAGGTTGCTCTAATAGTGGCTTTTAGCTCTTCTGAATTGTTGGGTCTGGTGTATTGCATCTTCTTCTTCACAATACCCCATAGATTTTCTATGGGGTTAAGGTCAGGAGAGTTTGCTGGCCAATTAAGAACAGGGATACTATGGTCCTTCAACCAGGTACTGGTAGCTTTGGCACTGTGTGCAGGTGCCAAGTCCTGTTGGAAAATGAAATCTGCATCTCCAAAAAGTTGGTCAGCTGCAGGAAGCATGAAGTGCTCTAAAACTTCCTGGTATGTGGCTGCGTTGACCCTGGACCTCAGAAAACACAATGGACCAACACCAGCAGAAGACATGGCACCCCAAACCATCACTGACTGTGGAAACTTTACACTGGACTTCAAGCAACGTGGATGAAGTGCCTCTCTTCTTTTCCTCCAGACTCTGGGACCTTGATTTCCAAAGGAAATGCAAAATTTACTTTCATCAGAGAACATGACTTTGGACCACCCACCAGCAGTCCAGTCCTGTTTCTCTTTAGCCCAGGCAAGACGCTTCTGACGCTGTCTGTGGTTCAAGAGTGGCTTGACACAAGGAATGCGACAGTAGAAACCCATGTCTTTCATACGTCTGTGTGTGGTGGTTCTTGAAGCACTCACTCCAGCTGCAGTCCACTCTTTGTGAATCTCCCCCACATTTTTGAATGGGTTTTGTTTCACAATCCTCTCCAGGGTGCGGTTATCTCTCTTGCTTGTACACTTTTTTCGACCACATCTTTTCCTTCCCTTCGCCTCTCTATTAATGTGCTTGGACACTGAGCTCTGTGAACAGCCAGCCTCTTTAGCGATGACCTTTTGTGTCTTGCCCTCCTTGTGCAAGGTGTCGATGGTCGTCTTTTGGACAACTGTCAAGTCAGCAGTCTTCCCCATGATTGTGTAGCCTATAGAACTAGACTGAAAGACCATTTAAAGGCTTTTGCAGGTGGTTTGAGTTAATTAGCTGATTAGAGTGTGGCACCAGGGGCCATCAATTTTGAACCTTTTCACAATATTCTAATTTTCTGATATGATGAATTTGAGATTTTCATTTGTTGTCATTTGTAATCATCAAAATTAAACAAAATAGACATCTGAAATATATGAGTTTGTATGTAATGTATGAATATAATATACAAGTTTCACTTTTTAAATGGAATTACTGAAATCAATCTACTTTTTCATGATATTCTAATTTTATGACCAGCACCTGTAGTCTTGGTCAACTGGTCCATGCAACCAACCAAGCAACTAATCCTCACTATTCTAGAGGGAAGCCAGTCCACAGAAGTGAAAAAAAATGTGATCTGTAAAACACAGTTAAAATTTTAAAGACAAAAAAATGAAAGGAAAGCAAATATGAAAAATTAAAAATCTGTAAAGAAAAAAAAATGAGCTTGGAAAAAAATGGATGAAAAAAATACATTAGAAAAAACAAAACCAGATTAAAAAGAAAATTTGCTCTCAAAACCCCTTTTAAATATTCTATATTTAAAAGTACATTGTACCTTGTACATTTTACTTTTTATATATATATTTTTTATTTATCCATATTTTTATCCTAAGTGTATATATCAGTATATTTTTTGCATGCCTTATACCCCAGTGTTTTTAGAGATTTTTATAATTTTATTTACTATTTCATATATGTTTCATGTTGCACGATTGTACCATAAAAAATTCCTAGTTGTGAACTCCTTCACTAACAATGGCAATAAACCCGATTCTGATTCTGATTCTGGGGTTTCACTTCTGGATTTAATTTTTTTTTGTAACTTCCATTAAAATGTTCTTTTCTTGCAACAATAATGGAGCAAAATTCACACCATAGAATGGAAAACATGCAGTATAATAAAACATAAAACAACATTTAAAAAAAAAAATTGCATAACATTTTTGCATTTAAGATTAAATATGTCTGTCCATATGCTCTATCCAGAATTCCTCAAATGGAAAAGCTTTAGTTTCAACTGGTTTATTGTTGTAAAGTCTTTTTTAAGGAACCTTTGTTTATCCAAATATTAATCGAAAAAAATAATTAACAGATTAATCGATTTGCAAAATAATCATTAACTGCAGCCCTAGTTTGGTTAGGATTAGCAGATCAGGCAGCGGCTGGCTAACCGTACAGAGTGAGAGCAGGCAAGTGTCAGAAAACCACTTACTGGCCGGCAGGAGTTCAACTTGTAGCTATTGCCTTTAAATAAACATAATTAATCTGACTAATGTGAAACTGGGTTATTGGAAAATAATCCAATGATAATATTCAAATTCTCTTTCCTATTCTCTCCTCCTTGGTTTTCTATCTGAATGAATTTATTATTTCTTTGTTGGTTTCAGCATCTGCTGCTGTGAGACTAACATCTAGACGTAAAATACAGGTTCATAACAGTTGGATTGGCAAACAGAGTTGAGATTTTGTGCTGCATTCAATGATGTTGTAATGGTGAAAATTTGAACTGCCAAAACAAGAACATGCTTTTGTTTTGTTTTCAGGTAGCAGTCCCTATAAAGGCGAGTTCTCCAGGTCCAGCATTCTGTCAGTGGATTCCAGTATATCCATCCCATTCAGCCTGGACAGTCTCGGTCCAGCTGCGTCTGTGTCAGAGCAGGTCAGAGTGAGGGCTTCTTCTCCACATGATACAGAAGTCCTTCCGAGGGAAAGCAGAGCAGTTTCCTGCCATCAGTCTGATGAACGTTCCCATTCCTCCATCCTGCACAACTCCAAGCAGCAGCAGGGCGAGTCTGAATCTACCTCTGTCTCTGGGAAGATCGTCGATACGGACAGAAAAGTCACAGAGCTGCCGAGCTGCCGTAACTTGGATCAAGATGGAGAAAGTTCCTTCGTTAGTGAGAGGGCATTATCCGAGATCCGTAAACTACTCTCTCAAGCAGAGAACATCATATCTACGGGTTCCTCCACAGCCTCATCCGGAGCCAATACATCCCGTCTCTGCTCTGATACAGACCTTTTCAAGCCACCAGAGATAAAAACCAGCAAGCTCCAAACTTCCCTACTGTCCTCCTCCAGCTCCACAGGCGGAGACCTCAAATCTCATTCCACTCTGCCATGGGCCAGGTCCTCCTCAGACTCCATGCTTCTCACTGAGAAACCACAGCAAAGCTCTGCTGCTCATGAAGGTTTGACCTCACCTGGGCGTCCTGATAATCCAGCCTCACCAGCTGCCTGTATTCCTGTCGGTAACGGCGCTGGAACATCCAAGCCACCCCGACGGACAGAGCCGGAGGGGTGTAGTGCCGCTCCCCCAGATAAAATCCCAATACAGCCTTCAACAGCTGCAGACACGCAGCAGCTGAATCTGACTTCTGCAGACATAGCGGGGGAAGCAGAGGAAGAGGAAAAGGTCACACCTAGTGATGCTGGAGCTCAGAGTCGCTCTTCCTCTCCTGTTCATGAGGATGCCAATCAGGAAGTGCTAAGCGACGGCAGCAGTGAGAACTCACTAACAATCAGAGTGGCCAAATTACTGCAGAAGGAGTCTCCTGTTACCATGGCATCTAGCTCACCCAGCGTCACAGATCAGGAAGAGGGAAAAACCAAAGGTAAAAGATCCACGTCCTATTGTCCTTTGATGAAAGTTTTACTAAATACTGCTCAGAAAGACAATAATCAGATTTTTTTTTACCTCCAATCAGTATCTTAATAAACACAACCAGGCTGCTCTAATTGCTTGGTTTTATTACATGGATGTCATTACTGATAGTAGAAGGGATAGAATTTAGCTAGTTTTGTTACCCTTAAAGTGTAACTCACCCCAAAAATCATGAGTCCATCATGAGAGAAAAGTGGAGGACATTGCACAAAGTTGTAAAGAAGAAAAAGACATGTGGCAATAAGCACGGTAGATGGTGACGGCTTTTATGATTTTAGGGTTTCACTTTCATTCCTCTGAGAGCAATGAGAACCACCTGTTCAAATCTTTGAAGTCTCTTCCACCAGATTGTTGGATTACACCAAAAACAAGATCTATCACAGTCTGCCTCCACTTCATTATAAAGTCTGACAGTATGACGGAGCGACTTACCTTTTCTTTTAATGACAGTTTTACATCTCCAAAAACTGGAAATAAGTGTTTCACCTATTCTAGTGTTTCGTTTTGTTTTTATTCACTAACCTACTGTAATAGGTTCCTATTTCAGCTTATAAGTTTAATCATTTGCATGAAAACATTTTGTCATTATTTCAGTCATTATTCAGTACAGGGGAACAGTAAATTATTCAAATATAATGATGTACCATTTTTTAAACTCAGCATATTAGAAAGTTCCTCTTTTTATTTTTTTTAATTAAGATAGGGTTATTTAATCAAATAGGGGTGAGTTACACTTTGATGTGTTTAAAATAAGTTTGTATGAAGCTTTTTAACAAGAGCAATTATGTCAAAATACAGAGATAGCAAGAATTTTAACGGATAACAGCAATGCTGTTACCTGTTTTATGGCTGCCTCAATGCCGTTTTCATATCTTATAGATGTTAAAAGATCGGGAATCAGCTCGACTTCTGATTGGTTCAGTTCCTTCCTCTTTAACTCCCCCTCTTTGATTTGCTCTGCTCATCCACTGGCTGCATAAGAAGTTATATATAAATATGTTTCAACATTTCAGAAGGGATGATGTCGAAGGTTTGGGAGCGGCAGGGTGAGCCGCTGCAGTTGGATGAAGAAGACAGAAGACGTATTGAGGAAATCAAGAAAGAGCTCCTGTTGAGAAACCCTTTGAAGGTAACTCACCATGTTCCATGAGGTGAAACCATAACATTGTTCTGTTACAAATTGCAGTTAATGTTTTTATATTTGTTGTTCTGATGTCAGCTTTCCACCTCTGGACAGTGTAGGTCTCATTGCTCCAGGTAAACCGTGTCTTGCAAAGTGTGCCAGCCATTAATTGAATAGATGTGTTCCACGTTTGCTGTGTAAAACTTTAGGTTTAATTAACTTTGCAAAACACCATTTTTTTTGCAAAGCAACTAGAAAATATATTTGAATTGCTAGAATTATCTTTTTGTACAACTTTGAGAATCTTTATGTGAATTAAAACAAAACAAGGTCAGGCATAAAGTACATCAGAAATAAAACAATCCTTTTAAAATCTGCCAGTAATGCTATGCATAAATATGCAGCCTTCTTTACTGTAAAACCATTAGAGAACAGTGGTCATAGTCATTCAGAGTACAGCACCTGCAATGTTAAACAAAAAGTAAGGGTTGCATAGTTGATATGAAGATTTATAAAGCTAAACAATAGAAACAGTGGAAGGCGGAGACAGAGGTTCAGCTTTCATTAGGACTACAACTTTAAAAGTAAAGTCGGAGTTAAGGTTGTCCCTAATAGAAATGCTCTGTTAAGGTTTCTCTTATGCATCAGTTAATTTTACATGGGTCAGTTGTTTTCATACCTTTTGTTATTGACATTTGTTCCATTTTAGTAATATGATTTGATCAAGCTGTTTCTTACATTCTACAGAATAAAATCAGTAATAAAAGCTGGTATGATAACTGCTAATATCGTATCGGGTCAATATCGGTATCAACCAATTCTCAAAGCTGCAATATCGGTATCATATAAAAAATGGAAAAGTTGTATTGGGACACCCCTAGTCACAGCGGTTTAGCTCACAGCCTAAAATGGCCCAGTCAAAGACCGGACATAAATCTTATTGGAAATTGGAAATCAGTCGGAAAGCTTGAAAACTCATTCTCTCAGATCGGTTGCAATGAGCTTTAGTTGTTTTGAAGAATGAGATCCCATTTTTTAGTAGAGACCCTGAGACCAGTATTGTTTATGATCCAAACAATAAGATATATTCAGTCTATTTCTATTAACAAATTCTAGTTTGGTTAAGGAACGTTTAACCTTTGATTTATGAAATACAGTCCTTTTTAACCCTTATTGCTGATTATTTGTTTTCAGGGTGGAATATGTCCTGCTTATTTTCTGACACTATATTAATCTCAAGTCACCCATTGAACATGCATGTATTCTTTCATACATACACTTGGTTGTTGAGAGGAGTTTAGCAGGAATGATAACTTTAAGGCAACCACAGATCCGGTATCAGGAAAGTCAGGAATCTGCAGATATCCAACTGTAAGTATCATAATTGGATCAGACGTGACAAAAAGGGGATCGGTGCATGCCTAGCTTTTAGTTGGTAAGGTAGTTCTTTAAGAACTCGGAGGCTAAATACCAGCTCATGCTACACTATGAAAATAAAAACCACATGTTTCTTTTTTATTCCACTTTACATTTTATAATAAAACATACAGGTGCTGGTCATAAAATTAGAATATCATGAAAAAGTAGATTGATTTCAGTAATTCCATTTAAAAAGTGAAACTTGTATATTATATTCATACATTACATACAAACTCATATATTTCAGATGTTTATTTTGTTTAATTTTGATGATTACAAATGACAACAAATGAAAATCTCAAATTCATCATATCAGAAAATTAGAATATTGTGAAAAGGTTCAAAATTGATGGCCCCTGGTGCCACACTCTAATCAGCTAATTAACTCAAACCACCTGCAAAAGCCTTTAAATGGTCTTTCAGTCTAGTTCTATAGGCTACACAATCATGGGGAAGACTGCTGACTTGACAGTTGTCCAAAAGACGACCATCGACACCTTGCACAAGGAGGGCAAGACACAAAAGGTCATCGCTAAAGAGGCTGGCTGTTCACAGAGCTCAGTGTCCAAGCACATTAATAGAGAGGCGAAGGGAAGGAAAAGATATGGTCGAAAAAAGTGTACAAGCAAGAGAGATAACCGCACCCTGGAGAGGATTGTGAAACAAAACCCATTCAAAAATGTGGGGGAGATTCACAAAGAGTGGACTGCAGCTGGAGTGAGTGCTTCAAGAACCACCACACACAGACGTATGAAAGACATGGGTTTCTGCTGTCGCATTCCTTGTGTCAAGCCACTCTTGAACCACAGACAGCGTCAGAAGCGTCTTGCCTGGGCTAAAGAGAAACAGGACTGGACTGCTGGTGAGTGGTCCAAAGTCATGTTCTCTGATGAAAGTAAATTTTGCATTTCCTTTGGAAATCAAGGTCCCAGAGTCTGGAGGAAAAGAAGAGAGGCACTTCATCCACGTTGCTTGAAGTCCAGTGTAAAGTTTCCACAGTCAGTGATGGTTTGGGGTGCCATGTCATCTGCTGGTGTTGGTCCATTGTGTTTTCTGAGGTCCAGGGTCAACGCAGCCACATACCCGGAAGTTTTAGAGCACTTCATGCTTCCTGCAGCTGACCAACTTTTTGGAGATGCAGATTTCATTTTCCAACAGGACTTGGCGCCTGCACACAGTGCCAAAGCTACCAGTACCTGGTTGAAGGACCATGGTATCCCTGTTCTTAATTGGCCAGCAAACTCTCCTGACCTTAACCCCATAGAAAATCTATGGGGTATTGTGAAGAAGAAGATGCAATACACCAGACCCAACAATTCAGAAGAGCTAAAAGCCACTATTAGAGCAACCTGGGCTATCATAACACCTGAGCAGTGCCACAGACTGATCGACTCCATGCCACGCCGCATTGCTGCAGTAATACAGGCCAAAGGAGGCCCAACTAAATACTGAGTGCTGTACATGCTCATACTTTTCATGTTCATACTTTTCAGTTGGCCAACATTTCTATAAATCCTTTGTTTTTATTGGTCTTCAGTAATATTCTAATTTTCTGATATGATGAATTTGAGATTTTCATTTGTTGTCATTTGTAATCATCAAAATTAAACAAAATAAACATCTGAAATATATGAGTTTGTATGTAATGTATGAATATAATATACAAGTTTCACTTTTTAAATGGAATTACTGAAATCAATCTACTTTTTCATGATATTCTAATTTTATGACCAGCACCTGTAGTTTGTGGTTGCATAGTGACATGTGTGGGTACTTTTAAAAGTTGCTGTGGGTCCATGTTTGCTGTGGGATAAGTTAAATTTATTTGTTTTATATTAATGTTGTTCTGAGGACATCACAATTAAACCCTTTTTGTTTTATTTCCACCTCCTAGAGCCAAGGAAGCACAGATACAGATGGCAGTATAGCGTCCAGCACTGGGATCACTAAAAAGGACACTGAAGCATTTTCTACCCTCAACGTCGCTAAAAAGCAGCTTGGCCTCAGTGCGGCCCGCCCAGAGCCTCACACACATCACAACATCCTGCACCTCCATCTAGAAGCCAGAGTCTGTGAGATAGCTGCCAGGGAAGGATTAGCACTCCCTACTAAAAGGGTTCAACCGCTCTCATCCATCAGTGTTTCCACCGACAGGCCCTCTGTGACCCCCTCATCTTCATCCCCCTTTGCACCTCCTCTAAGCTCATCCTCACAAGCCCTCCACCTTCCAGAGCTTCCCTCAGGAACAGTCAGATCCTCATCATCCATCCAGCATCTTCTAACAGATGAGACAGAAGCAGAGAGGCTTCCCTCAGCCCGAACGACAACAAAACAGCCTTCTGTGTCTGAGGAAAGTAAACAAAACCAGAAGGTGTCTCAAAAAAGCAGCCAGGATCAGGAACCTCCTCCAACCTCACAGGCTTTAGAGGAACCAGACGTCAGAGCACACGCTCCAAAAGTCCAGACCGGTTCTTTTTCTCCCAGTCATAAAGAAAACCAGGCTTTCAAGACGAGTCGTCCCCCAAACCTCCATTTCACTCTCCTCCCTAAATCAACAGCAAACACATCTGTCTCTGCCATCCACCGTCATGACGCGGTGGACTTTGCCGCCATCAGAGGCTCCCCTCCCGCAGCAAGCAGTCCAGACGAAGGCGTCGGCTCGTCAAGTCCAGCAGATTGGTGCAGGTTAGACGCTTCTACAGCAGCTCAGAGAAAAGGGATCCCTGCATCATCACCGTCCCTCACGCAGCAACGCAGATCTGCAGCGTTAACCGCTCTAAAACCAGGTAGGCTTACAGGGAGGTGTTTCAGTAAAAACCTGGAAGAAATAACAGAAACAACCTCTGACTTCAGTCTTCTGTCCCACAGCATATCCTGTACTGCTGCCTTACAAACCTCGAGGCAGTGAGGAGCTCTTCTATGTCCCACAGACAGAGGCTGACGTCTCCTCCTCAAACCAGTCAGACACCAGCATGGAGAGCACTCACACTGGTAGGTTTGTGTCACACTTCATTAGGGCAGCCATAAAGGTCGCCTGTCAGAAATGCTCCCAGAACGTCTCACCTTTTTGTGTCTGAGAAATTAAACAAAAACTGACTGAAACTTTTTGTGTTTATTCTACATCACCCTCCTTACCTTCATAGTGTTTTTTTTTTTATCTTTTTAATGAGTCCTTTGGTCTTTTATTCATGGTTTGAGTTCTGAGGAAACAAATCAACACAAATGGAAATGTCTTCATTTAGTAAAACTAAACTTGGCTTTTATGTGTCAAGATAAAATGGTGCGGAGAACAAGGCAGGTCAGGATGCAGCATCTGTGTGGAGCTGTAACGTCGAATGCAAAATGCAAATATTTCTGGTGTTACCAAACAATTATTTTACAAGGTACCTGATGACAAACTGGTCTTTGCATAATTTTTTGGAATGAGGCTGCTTGAGTACTTTTTGTTGCAGGTTAAATGGAGTTTTGTGATTGTTTTTAAGCAATTGTTAAAGTTTTCACATTAAAACTCTCTTTCTTCCTCTTCTTTACTCTGTCTCACTGGATACCCAGCATTTAAAAACATAGATTTTCGGGTTTTGCCACAGATGCTCGGTAGAATCTACTTTGACTAGGCCATTCTGACTCATAACAATGCTTTTGTAATGTTTCTAGAGTTGCACCAATCCAGTTTTTTTTTTGTTTTTTTTTGTACCGATACCTTTGTGTTTTTTATGACTAAACCTTCTTTCTCCAGGTGCTCTGCAGTTTTTATCTGTAAAATTCATTGAATTTTTGTAATGTGATTTCAGTTTAATAACTGTAAATATTTTAGTTAAAACAGTGCAGATCGACTTTAGATATATTTATTTATAAGCTAATTCCTATTGAACATATTACCTGTTCTGTAAAGTCTGCCTGAGGAGAACCAGCAGTTAGATGCTGAGGAGGCTCCTCTCAGGTTTTACGAAAGCAGGTGGTCTATTGTAACACACACCAGACAGCACATCCATTATTCATGTTCCGGGGCAGAGGTGAACAAAAGGCAGAGCTGCAGGTGGAGCATACTTTAGCCGTGCTGCGACTGAAAACACTGTTTTTGGGTCCTAGCGGTACATATCAGGCTGTTTTCTTTGTCTATGTTTAATTGGAGTGTGTGTTTTCGTGGTGATGTAACCGAGCATCGTTAAATTCCCACCAGGATCAGATGACGCGGTGCCTCCCAGATTCAACAGCGAGGTCCTAGGGGATCAGGATCCAGGGTTGGACCGCGGAATCGCAATCAGACACAAAGAGGGCATCTACAGCAGAAGGCTGAGAACGTTCAGAATGGAAGATCGAGGACAGAACGTCCAGAGAACGCTGGATCACATAGGTACCGACTCTATTAGACAGGAGACAATGTGACTGCCTGACATGGAGATCATGCAGGAACCTGAAATAATTAGATCGGGTCTTATTTGTTGACAGATGCTTCAGAAGCAGCGATCAGAAGGTCTTCAGCTTTTAGCCCAACAGCGAAGCCATCTTCCCAGGAGTCAATCCGTCACTCCGTCTCTGGAGCTCCTTCAACTGTCAACACCAAAGCGTCTAAGAGGGATCAGGGTACCAGCCCCATCCAGTTTCTCCATTACAAGCAAGCAGAGCCGACTAATCAGAGGTTCCATCCAGCTCAAACCGAGGACGACCGTCTTCCACCGCCCCCTCAACAGAGCAGCGACACCCTGGACCACCTGTGGCAGAGGTTCTGTGATGAGTGGAACAGGGAGGAGCCGCACCCCACCAGGGATAAAGAGGCCATATTGGAGCGATTAGAGCATCTGTCTCGTCTGATTCAGAACTCTTACAGAGGGCCGGGTTATTATGTTCCTGTAAGGACGCTGAGAGACAGGGAGGAGGTTAAACGGACCAATATGGGACGAAAAGTAGGAGACGCAGAAAAGGAGACCTACGTCTCCAACATCCACAACCAGCCATTCCCTTCTGCAGACAGAGATCAACCAGAGAGGCTCTCCACTGTGTCCGGCTCTACATCTACCATGAACACGGCACGACTCATCCGAGCCTTCGGCGCTGACAGAGTGAAGCACCTGAGAAGCAACTCTAACCTCAGCAAACTGTACAGCGCCATCAACAAGCAGAGGGAGGAGAGGGAACGGCGCAAAGGAACAAAGGAGGAGGACTCTGTTACTCTCACTCCATCAGCAACAACCTGCACAGACCAATCGGTTCGTCATTTTCAAAACTTAAGTCCTCATGTCTGCAGCGATTTAATATTTAGATAAAATCAGTTGTTATAATTTCCACATTAAAAGAAACCAGCAGTAATATCAGACACTTAGATGATGGAGGAGCCAGATTGAAAAACTAGGAACATATCACAGCCTTCAAACATCAGGTCTTTGTAAAGTTCTTTTAAATTTCCCCCTCAGGTTCTTGATACAGCATCAACATCCAGCACCATCTCGCCGCCCCACGGTCCTTCAAGGGCGCTGACAACCAAGAGAGCCGCAAGAACGGTCAACAAATGCATTCAGGCAGGTCAGTGGATGCTGAACTTTCAGTTTCGATGATGAGGATCAGAGAAAACATCTTAAGTTTTCAGTATTTCAGGGGCTAATGTTTGAGGTCATATTAACCTGCGCCACAAAGATACAGCCACACACAGGAGCATCGCTGTGTTGCCATAGCTACAACTGCCTTGCTTTTCAGTTGGAGGGAAGATGGTGTCCCGTTCTCATTTATACCTCCTCTTTGCACAACTCCCACTTCCTGAAATTTTCTGTCTTCTATTACTGGATGATCCGATTAATCCAGGTGTGCCGGACCTCAGTAACCATGAAGACATTGGCCAGGCACACCTGGATTAATCGGATCATCCAGTAATGAAAGGTAGGAAACAGGAGTTGTGTCTAGAGCCCATAAGCAAGCTGAAGGATGGATTAGGAAAACTAGAGCAAACCAGAATGAGTTAAACGTAAAGGTTAACCTTGCAGACTGTGAAATTTATTCAACCCAACTCTTCCACATTCCACATTGAATTAAAGCGCTCTGGTTGTCATGAAATATAAAATGCTATAATTAAACTGTAAGGTTTCCCATCTTTACCCTGCAACCTCAGGAGAGCTGGAGATTGTTCGTAACGGGACTCGACGGCACACTAGAGATGTTGGGACCACGTTTCCTTCTCCTGGAGAAGCTGGAGCTTTTGAGCGGATTTCTTCCTCTTCGTCGAGCACAGTGAGAGGAAGAGGAGGAGGCCGGAGACTTATTCCTAAATCTAATAACAGTCAGAAGCAGAAGAAGAGCAAAAGGAGCCCCTCTAAGCCTTACCCTAAAGGTAGCTCTGGAGGACTGGAAATAAAGTTGGTCTAAAACACTGCCATTTTAGTTTGACATGTTAGAATGTGGAAAAGTGGGAATATTTGTTGTGTTTCACCTTATGTCCTTTGTGTGCATTTGGAGGTTTTAATTGGTCCAGGCGTTTAAAGTTCTTTTTCTTGTCTTGTTGTTGAGGTGTTTCATGGTTTATCTCTGTCGACAACCTGAGGTCTGAGACAAGGAAAGAGAACCGTCCAGAGGAACCATCCACCGCGTGGTTCGAGCCCTACAGCCAAGTCCGACCATGGAGAGAGCCGCTCAGACAGAGACAAGTCTACGAGGACAGCAGCAACCATCCTGAGCAAGATCCACATCCTGAAAGCAAAACGTTTCACTTTGGGCTCCTACGCGTCACCCTGCAGGTTAGTTTAGTTTGATCTCCTTAGAAACATGAAATAATTCAGGTTTGCAGCGTTTGATGTGAGATATCTCTAACGCATCGGATCGCCCATGCAGGAGGCTCTGGAGATGCGTCGGCCTGAGTTTATCTGTCAATCTAAGCAGAGGGTGAGACGACTGGCGCTGCAGGCCGAGGAGCGGAGGCTACAGGCCACGCTCGGCCGAGACAGACGGCGGCTGTACAACCATCCGGGTGAACTTGGGAGGCTGCTGAAGTCTGCAGGTATCCAGGCAACCACTGCTTCTGCTGCCAAGTTTAATAAAGTATTCACACCACTTTCACCTTGCATCACATGTCAACCCCAAAATGAGGCACTACTTCTGAAAGCTACAGACTGAACTTAATGCCTATTCAATTTCCCGAAAAAACAGCTAAAGCTTACTGGGAATATCCAGATACAGGTGTAAACTTTGACTGGGCCGTTACAGATCTTTAGTCCTATTGAAAGGTAAAGGTTCTGACCTGTTCACCATCCATCCTTCCATCAAATCTTATCTGCTGTGAAGAAAGCTTCCCAACAGCATGATGTTGCCATCGCCATGTTTCAGAGGATTAGAATTCAGGTTTTTAGTTTTCCGTCTGAATAATATTCACTTTGGGTTCCTACAGTATCAAAGAGTCTTCCACCTGTTTGCTGTTTCCTACATGCTTATTGCAAACAGGACGTGAGACTCTTATTTTCTTGTCTCTAAAAAACAGATTTATAGATTCCCTGATAGTCAGTGGTTGATCACTGGATGTTTTTTTTTTTCCACCTTTGAAGGTAATGTCATGCTGAGGAGAGCAGTACCCAGGAAGGAAATGATCCAGAGGTCCAAGCAGTAAGCAAAGAAGTTCACTTTGTTCAGAGATCATAGATTTAACTAGGAAACGCTCAGGAAGTTTGATTCACAAACTGATGTGTCCTTTCACTGCAACAGAATCTATGAAAACCTTCCAGAGGTGCGGCGCAGGAGAGAGGAGGAGAGAAGGAAAGCAGAGTATCAGTCGTACAGACTGAACGCCCAGCTTTTCAATAAGGTAGCTGCGCTACTTTCCATTTTAGAATATAAAAAAACATCTGTGAGCAGATGTCATCAACTTCTGACCATTAGTGAAGCTTTGTGGGGGAAATAACTGACCTGCTGCTTTTCTTTGGATCTTTCAGAGAATCACCAACCGGGTCCTTGGCAGGAGAACAGCCTGGCACTGATTAAACAAACACAGCATTTACTCTGTATGGCAAAAATCATGTTTTTTTTTTGTTGTTTTTTTAATACAGAACAAAAGCATAAAAACTTCTAAAAAAAAGTTGCTTTTGTTACTTTCTGCTGATTGATTTCATGACATTTTGAAATGAAAGCAAAGCAGAAATTTGAAAAGAATTTTTTATCCATTAAAGTGTTTTTTACTGTTAAAAAGTGAACTATTTTGTTTTGCAATGAAGGGATCAGAGGCAGAGTGGTTTTGATTAATTTATTGATCTGTTATCGGTTGTGCAGCAGCAGGACACCATCGAGGGACAAGGAAAGACGAATTGGACAAGCTGCAGTCACCACAGCACCGCTAGCACAGCTGGAAAACCGCGTTTTACAGACAACATATATACTTTCAAATAAATACACTATGCCCAGCAAATTAATAAATAAGACTATGTTAATAAGAGTCAGGTATAAACATGAATAACCAGAAAATAAGGTTGTTGTGGATTTAGCCTTGGCAGATGTGCAAAAAAGAAAAACAAAATAGAACAGAAAAAACAGTCTTTGGCAAAGAAACAGTTTTGCTTCATTAAGGTTTATCTGAATCCAATCAACTAAGGTTGATGTCTACAGGTTTAAGGCTGCAGACTGTGTCCACCTGAACTTAAACAGCTTCTTTTGTTCGATCAGCATCCAAATTTTCCTAATTTCATCAATTCATAAAACCCTCCACCTGTCTGTGGGGAACCTAACGTGCTGGATTTTGTTCTTTTAGTGGCTCGTGCAAATGATGAAACTGAAACAAAGATTAAATTTTACATCCCATAATAATTTCCCTTCATACAGGCAAGCGAAGCGCCAAGAGCAATTCCAACCCACCCCCCCAAAAGATTACCAACAGCCTCACAGTTGCTCCTGCTGTGTAAAGTTTATAGGATCCTGTGAGTTTAGCTGCATAAATCACAGGAGTAAGGTTGGTAACGGTGCGAGTCTGAGCAGCAGGCATTGCTTTATTCAGTCCAGGTTATCAGTTCAGTTCAAAATACTTTATATATCCCAAAGGGAAATATGATTGTGTCATTAGAATGACTGAAAGTCAAACCAGGCTTAAACACTTTTGGTAAGAAAAAACAAAGCAATGCAAATTTGAGGAAGATTTTTTTCTGGTAGGTTAATTTGCTGGTGCAAATTAAATGCCGGACCAACAATAAAGTATTTTTTTTTTTCACCTCAAAGCTTTCCTGTTGTGGGTAATTACTAATTTATAGTAAGTGCTTTGGTGAGATCAAGCAACTTTCATTGATTGTTTCCTATAAAATACGTTTTTTACAAACATGATAATGGAGTAAGCAGTTAGCATGAGGATTGCAGCTAGGATTATTGAAAAACTGTTAGAAATAGTAATACAGTAATAATAGAGAAAAATCTTGTTTTCTTCTATTATTTGTTCTAGCAGCATGTATATACGGTGACAAAAATATTTTGCAAGTTCTCCCACTTAGAAATCATGGAGGGTCTGAAATTCTCACTGTACAGTGAATAAAGAAGAAAACAAGGAAGGTCAAATTATTATTATTTTTTTTTTACAATTTTAGATCGTACCCTGCTCTTTTCAGACAGATTCCAACAAATCTAGCACGACAGACCATTTTAGGCTTAACGATAAAACAAGCTCCTCACAGCCTTCCTGTTCTCTGCTAAAACTCTTGCTCTTACAGTTTCCTTTTAAACAGCTACTTCAACTTTGCCTTATTTTAAAAAAATGAAACGGCTAACTTTGAATTTTCACTACGAAACAAATTTAATTCTGAAGATTATTGGGCAGAAAATTATTGGATTTTTTAATATTTTCTAACCAGCTGGCTGACCTCTAAAAGGAGCTGAACGATAAAAAAGATAACAAAAGGCCTGAAATCTGTTTTTAACAGCAGAAGGTGACTTATGCGATTGACTGAAGATATGAAGTGTTATGCTTATTTTGGGGCACAAATTAAAACCTACCAAGGGTTTCTGACAGTAAAGAATACATTGTTTAAAATAAACTTTTCAGATCTCAGTTTAATAATTTTTCATCTTCACCTAAAACAGAAGATAAGCAACAGAACTGGGGTCAGTTTCACAAAGCAGGTTTAACAAACTCCGCAAGTTGATATAGCCTAATGTGGGGAACTCTGAGTTTTCAGTTTCACAACGGCTGCTATGAATTAGTTCAATACACTCCAAGTAGGTCCACTCAGAGTTGAGCGCATGTATGAAAAGCCATTATCAGTGGAGCGCCATTTCAACGAGTCACCATTAAAAAGGCAACAGGAAGTGCCTATTTCATCCCACTGGAACTAGAGATTATAAAGAAGAAATTAAAAGGAAAAAATGGAGAATGTGTTTAAAAAACAGATAAACAGCACCACTGCTGCAAAGGAGAGGAAGATGGACACGGAGATAATTGTTGTGTTAATCTATAGGTTTGTATGAAGTGGGCTATGGCAGGCCGTTATACATTTATTAAAAGCTTCTATCATTTATTAATTCTCCTCTCTTTTGTTTCATTTGTAGATCACTACAATAAGATTCTTCCTGATAAAAATCACACTCCTAGAATGAACTGTAGTAATATATTTTCTTAATAAAATTTTTGCAGCAGAAACTGAATTTCAGAAAGCAGAGAAACAAAATTATACTATTAAGAATTACCGGAAAGGTTTACGCATTTTAAGTGGCCGTTTTGACATTTATCAACTTGACTGAATATGTATTCATGATATCTGAAACATATTTCTTCATAGTCAAAATCATATAAAGGATGTCCTGTAACAACAGTAATATGTAGATCTGAAGTTATTTTGTAGACATCTAGAATGTATATTGTAGATGTGGAGAATGTCAATTTGTTTATAAAGGTCATTTTGACAAGGAAAACATTTTTTTTTTCAGATATTAGGAATGCATATTCAGTAAAACTAATATATATCAGAACGGCTTACCACAGTCTGCTGTAACTGCGACAATATTACAGGTTTATTTCTTGAATGGTAGTAGATCAATGTATCTATTTAGGTGAAATCATCTGGACAGCATGGGGTTCTTAAGTTTGATTCTGTTTTACATTACACAGCAAGTGTCTGTGTCAGCTGCTTCGGATGTTATCATCCCAATAAATGGTCGTAATTAGCGGCTATCAGTTCCATAGAATGGCTTCTGATTGTGCCAGTAGGCTCATTGGGTTGTTATCATCAAGTGAATCCTAATCCTAACCCTTAATTCCTTTTCACCCCACTGAATTATCCATTTATGTGTAACCTGAAAATTATTTCAGTAGTTCTTCATGTACTGTAAAATAAATAAAAATAAATAAATCTCATTTTGTGTCAACTGAGCTGTAGAATCCTCTCCCCATAAATATTCATTCACTGTAAAAAGATGCTAATTATTCTTTAATAAGATTCTCATCAAACGAATATGCAATGTTTGTTTTTAAAACCTAATGTGTCTAACGGACCTACTGTAGTGAGTTACTTTCTTTATGCACAAAAATCCCAAAAAAATCTGATTAAACTTGGAAATAAACAATGCGATTGGTTTTAAGGAGAGCAGAGACTGAGGACACTCTAAATTTACTGGAAAAAAAACCTGCTCCCAACCAGGTTATCTCTGGGGAGACTGTTACTACGGTGACTGAAACAGAGGTTCAGTAAACATGCATCGTGAAACGGAAGCCTGATGTCTTTACAGAAATAAACTGCAGGTGTGCTGAGATCTTAACTACAGAGCTGCTAGCATATCTTCCATTTGATGCTTTAAATCCCTCTTGATTTTACTTGTTTAGCCATTTATGGTGCCACAAAAAGCAACATCTAGGTCTGCAGGAGACTGTGGACTCTCTGCAGCTGGGATTGGGACAGAACCAGACGGTGGACCCGCTCCTGACCCCGAGGACACGGCACCATAACTCGACCGACCAACACTGTGTCCGAGTGTTTCTCTTCGGTTGCCTGGGAAAAAAAAAAAACTTTCAGGTAAGATCTGAAGATTCCCTGATGCCTGTTAGCCAGGAGGCCCTGAGTTGAATTTAAGTTTATAACAAAGAGCTCTCACCTTAACAAAGGAGGTTGAAGGGAACGTTGCAAAGTCTGATGAGACTCTAGCTCCAGGCTGCAGGTTGACGACATGCTCTGCTACCTCACCCTGAACAGAAGCAGAGAAGAAGAAGAGATGAAACCCACTGATGCTCGTAAAGTTGGCACTTCCTTAGCTTCAAACCTTTTTTCTTCCATATTCCTGTATGCTTTGTTTTATTTTATTTTTTACCTTCAGTTTGTCCAGAGTCTCTCTCAGGGACTGAAGACGCGCTGTCTGTTCCAGGAGCTGAGCACTAGGGGTCACTGTTGGACAAATAAAACATTATCAAACAGCCTCACCCCACATCCTCATTCCCACATCCTCCTCAACCTCCCCGTCCCTTCCAAAATCAGCATCTCTTCGGTCACGTCTGCGATAAGAAGTCGTGACTGAATTTGACAAAACTTTCAAGCCTTTCATCATAAAATACATAGTTTGACGAGATGAAAATCTGCTTCCTTGTATGTTGAAGTAACAGGCAACCATACAATAAATTAAAGTCTTATTTATTGGGAATATATGAAAATTATGCTCTACTTTGTAGTAACCCATCAATCGTTATCCCTATTTTACTTTGACAAACCGGATCTCCTTGATATTCATTTCCCTGTTAGATACGCTTTCAAGTGTGGATCTTGACCTAGATTCTAGCAGAACAAAAAAAAAAAAAAAAAAAGCTTTGTTCTGTATTTTTAAGGTGAAGGACAGAGGACACATAAGTGGACGGAGACGTTCGGAGGAGTAACGGTGGACGTGGAATAGTTCTCATTGGTTAACATGACTTCGCAAGTGCTCCGCCGGACGTACGTGAGCGGGGCGGAGCTTTTACAGAGGATGTGGAATCTAAGGGTAACCTGTTCCACTCCAGACATGAAAGGCAGTCATTTACTAAAGCTGTAATATCTATTTAAACGAGCTGAATTTAAACATATATGGTTCAAGCTTTAGGAAGAAATTTGTGCTTCTTTAAAGGTATAGTGGAGGATTTTCTTTTTCCCGGCGGATGATCAAAATAAGTCGTCCTCCTAAATGTCAATAATTATGGTGATTTGTTTACGTAATGTCATCCTACTTGGTCCTCCCCAGTTAGTTATCTTTTTCTGCGCAAGCACACTTTCAGGCATATATCTGTGGGGAGCTATGGTTTCAGATATTTATTAAAGCTCACCTTTCTCACTGCGGTTCTTTGAAAATGCCCGAGGGTCTTAAGAGAAGAGTGTCTATGAAGTGTATAACCAGAAGAAAAGGCCTCAGAACAGGCAGATATATCCCAGAATGGTAAGTTAACCGAGTTCGCTATAAAGTCCACTATATAGTCCCTGCTCTACATGGTCGTTGAGGGATTTAGGGGTTAGGGTGGACGTTCGGACACAGTGAGCTTGTATGAGCCATGAGAACAGCATGGGCTCGTGCATGCTCTCGCACGTGTTTAATAGGCGTTCCACTCAGGAACAGGTACAGGGTTGTGCATGTGGATGTGCAGGGAAGAGGGTAAGTAAACTCAGAGTCAGCCATAATTAACTGGTCCGATTAACACTTCACCTGGCGACTTCCCAGTGATATCCACCACCTTGACATTTGCACTCATCTGGAGCAAGGTCTCCAGGAGCTGGTCGGTCTTGCGGTAGAGGGCACTAGAGAGCACTTCAGGTCGTCCTTCCTTGGAAGGAAGTTTGGTCACGTTGAGCGACGGCAGAGAGGCGAGCTGAGTACGCATCTTCTCAGCCTGCCGGGAGGAAAGCATCACGTCGGATGATGGGATGGAAGAAAAGGAAAACCTGCAGATGATGGGAGAAAGTCCTTACCTTCAGCCTGTTGTTCTCGTTCTTCAGGTGTTTGATGCAGAGCCTCTGAGCTTCAATTTGCTTCGTCAACAGAGGAGAGTCGATCACCTGAGCGCCGGAACCGGAGCCGACTCCTGCCATCATGTTGGCTGTGAATGAGAACCAGAGCGATGAAGTCAATAAAGAAATAAAAGCCTTAGAAATGATCGCCATGCAAAGACAAACCTTTCTACAGTTCAGGTTTTTTGCTCAAGCCTTCTTCTTTTCAAATTTTGTTTAACAAATCAAGGGCTTTCTTTTTGAGTGAGAAACAGAGACACATTTCTTTTGATCCGAATGGACTTTAGCAACAACATTATCATTTCTCAATGTGCGCATCAAGATGGAATGATTCTATTGGACTGGAAGTAAACGGAATATGAAACTGGTGAAATAGGAGCGTTTTGGTGTGTTTCAGCAGAAGATGTGACTTTGGTACTGTGGTGCAGTCTTATCTTAAAGGAATAGTACACCCAAAACATGATTAGCCTTCATTTTCTACTCACCCCCATGCTGAACAACACTCTGGAGTACTTTTTTGATATCTCAAATGCATCTGGAGATCTGGGAGGCTTCTTGCTGTCTGCTGACATTCAAATAATGGAGGTCTATGGTGCCCGAGACAGAAAGGTCCATAAAAGTCCACAAAAAACGTGTCAATATTCCTCCATACTGCTCGTCCAATGTATTCCAAGTGTCCTGAGTGGGTAGCATCCAGAATTTACTCGAAACGAAGTCATTTAGAATGTTTTTAGAGCATAAACAGTAGTGTATAGGATTTCCTGAAAGCGCGCACATGCGCGTTCACGAAGCTACGGAAGCCGGCAGACCAAACCAGATGAAAGTGCGCATTCAGCGTCTGCTCTGCCAATAATGCAAGCATAGAAGAAGAAATGTGCTGTTTATCTGTGCAAAGAAAGAAACAACAAAAGAAAAATGTCTGAGGACTTCAGTGTTGAGGAAGAGCATGAGTTCTTTGCCGAGCTGAATGCGCTGGTTTGGTCTGCCGCGGTTTCCGTAGCGTCATGAACGCGCATGTGCGCGCTTTCAGGAAATCCTATACACTACTGTTTTTGCTCTAAAAACATTCTAAATGACTTCGTTTCGAGTAAATTCTGGATGCTACCCACTCAGGACACTTGGAATACATTGGACGAGCAGTATGGAGGAATATTGACACGTTTTTGTGGACTTTTATGGACCTTTCTGTCTCGGCCACCATAGACCTCCATTATTTGAATGTCAGCAGACAGCAAGAAGCCTCCCAGATCTCCAGATGCATATGAGATATCAAAAAAGTACTCCAGAGTGTTGTTCAGCATGGGGGTGAGTAGAAAATGAAGGCTAGTCATGTTTTGGGTGTACTATTCCTTTAATAACCCTTCATAGCCAGTTAAACACCTGCAGTGAATGTTTTCCAACATTTGCTGACACATTGCTGGTGGCCTAATGTCTGTCGAGTGGTCTGTCGATTTAAAGAAAAACATCCTGCACAGCGCTCTGGCATCTTCTGATGTTTTGGTTTAACCAAGCAGGTTGGTGTATTTTATGCACTCCAGCAGCCATATGTGGTGCCCACTCTATTATTTTAATTTATTTTAATTTTAATGCATCCATCCGCCGAAACTGATAGAAGAAAAAGAATGTTAATATCTGGTGAAAATATTGGCCAGCCAATGTGTCCGTCTATCTCCAACCTGTGTAGCTCTACTGTTTCTTTGGTTCTAACCAAGATGAACAGCCTCTCCCATTCAGCCCTTTTGTTTTCATTGATTTTGGCTTGTCTGTTTGTTTCTGTTTGTTTTCCAAATAAATAAAACGATTAAGGAGGGATCTTGCTGAAATTTTCAGACAAGGTGCGTATTGTGACTGGCAACAAACAATGAACTTTTGGTGATGATCCAGATCAGATCTGGATCCAAGAATTCATTTGAAATATTCTGTTAACTCAGGTAGTAACTTAAGTTGGAGGTCACAATATGTTGGGGAAAATGAGCTACTTGGTGGAGGTCTGAATTCTCCAAGTGCTTTTATTTAGAATGAGGGATTAATATGAGCTGCCACAGCCATGTTAATGCTTCCCATGAGCAAACATAACATTTATCAAAGGAAGCTATAAGCCTATTTTAAGCTCGAGCTAAAACACTGTATAGTGTTTGATCATTTAATATATAGAGAAAACGAATATTTCTAATGACTTCTTTTCCTCATCTATGGGTAAAATATTAGTTTATAGCAGCTAGCTGGGATAGCAGAGTTGGGCACAGAGCAGATGGTGAAAAAACAGTGAAAGACACAAAAAGGGGTAAATAAATAACCATCAAGTAAGTAATCCGGAGAATCACATTCAATTTAAGGGTTTTACTCTTTAAATCGGATTTGGATTTTTTTTTTTGGTGATGTAAAGCATGCATTTTTTTTTATGTCCTGAATGAAACCAAAATCTGTTAAAACAAAAAAAATGGCTTCCTGTCTAAGCTGAATGTCATGCAGAAACACATCAGATGCAAACAGGCAGATACCTTTTTGTTCTTCTGAAGAGTAAAACAGGAGATAAGAAAAGAAGATCAGACAGAAGAGAAACATTAAATACTCTGTATGAGTTCCAATAATACACAGATGTGGTGTTAGATATGGACTGAAGCAGCTGTTAGAGGAACATGGACAGATGCTTTTACTGTACGAGTTCCTTCCTATCACCTCCAGATATTCCTGAGACAATCGAAGCGATTCCAGACGGGCCGCTCCCCCTCAGTCCGTCAGAGCTCATCTTTGACTGACTGCTGATTCGCTGCTTCAGTTCCATCTTCTCGGACTCGAGCTGGTCGATGTCCGCCTGCAGAGCATCCATGGTCTCCTCAAACTCCCTGCACAGAGGATTGCATTAGATAAGCTGCGACTGCAAAGCATCTCTGGTTTAAATAGGTTGCAATCCAGATTACTTCTCCTTCTTCTTCAGCAGTGTCTGCGCCTCGTCCAGGCGAGTCTGGATCTTCTCCACGCGTTCGTCTGCGTCTTTGGACGAGCTGTCCAGCTTCTTTTCCAGCAGGCTGAGACGGATGTTTGCCTCACTCAGCTCTTCTCCCTGAGATGTTGCACAAAGTTACGCAGTTAAGAGCCTCTGAAAAGTTTCCTTCATTGTGACTCCAAAGATATATGTTTAATTCATCCAACAGTTGAAACAGATCAGTATCGGATATCAGCTAATACTTTCAGCCCAGGTATTGGATTAGATTGGAAAAAACTGGATTGGTGCATCTCTAGAAAAACCACATTAAATGTTACATTTAACGCAGCAGCGGTGTGTTTAAAAAGCTCAAGAGTTTCTGTTTATTTCCTCTACCTTGATCTTTAGAGACTTCTTTAGCTCTTTAATAACCGTCTCTCTGTCCTCCAGCTTCAAGCCCAGACCTTCTGCATCTGTGATTTCTGCTCGAAGTGCTCCAGCACGTACATCCACGGGTGGGGGGTTCTGTGGAATGATGGGGAGGGAGACATGAAAATAATATCCTGTACTCAGTGGACATGTGCCGCATAAAGACACATCCAAGTCACTCTGGGTTGCTTTACAACAGTCACATCTGCACAGCAGCTTCACATCCACAGTTACCTTGCTTTGGGGCTTGTCTGAGTCATATTCTCCCTCCTGCATGGCAGTAGCCATTTTATTCATGGTTGCTATGACAATGCTACAGGATTGTCGCAGACACTCGTAGGGATTAGCACCCTGAGATCCATAGATCTAAAAGAAAAAAGATGGGGCAGAAAAAGTATGTTAAAGGATTCCCTCAGCAGGAGGAGAGATTAGGGCTGAAACAATTAATTGTATTAACTGCGACTCATCGATTATTGAGATAATCAACTAATTCAGTAATCGATTAATCGTTAACTGGAGTATAGACTGTAAAATATACCTTTAGTTGACAGAGCAGCCCACTTATAGCAGTAATTCTAACAAAATTGTAAAAAAAAAAAAACATTTAAACATTTTGCATTTAAGATTTTAAAAAAGTTTGTGATTTAAGCTAACTGTGTCATTGAATTCTTTTGGATTAATCGTAAACATCTCCACAGGCCTTGCCTATAAAAGTCCTTTTTATATTTCATCTTCGTATTTCTGGTGAATTCCTGATGAAGCTGTCACTGTCGTTTTAGAAATAAGGAAAGCAAGAATTCCATCTGTAGGTTTTTTTTGTGTGTGTGGAGCCACAGGAAGCTCCTTATTCTCAAGTACAGTAGAAACGTGGTAACACAGTAAGGAAGGTTTGGGATCCTTTTAGTGAGTACCAGTGGTTCTGCTTGTTTTCTTCTGGAAAAAACAGCAGAGCTGGGGTATTACCTGTTCTGCAGCCTTGAACGCCACATCCTCCAGTTTAACTGCCGCCAGGCCATCCTGTTCGCTAAGAGGAGTAATCATCTGAGCTCCAGCGGCAGCTACTTCTTGCAGCACTGCCACAACCCATGTCAGGTGTTTCCTGCAGTCGGAGAGTGTGTCGGACACCTACAGGGAAAAATTTGTAAAAGGAGAGCGGCCATCTTAAAATCTCTGTATCTTTTCAGCTCCAGACATAAATTTACCCCCAACTCTAACAAACAAGCAAAAGTTTAAATAAATGCTTCCCACCTGTTGTCCAAAGTTAAGCGCGGCAGGGATACCGGGTGCATCTGTTCCGGGCATTCTGCGGCGAATCTTCTTACAGAACTGCCTGATGTCGCTGCAGGATGTCTCCAAGTCCTTCAGCAGCACGGCGAGGTCGGCCTTCTCCTGACCTGCATGCAGGAACGCCCGCAGCCGACCAACCTCTACCGCCATGCAGTCCAAGGCACTCTGGGTAAACTGCACATCAAAGCAAGATAATTTATGAACTAACTCCTGGTGCAGATTGTGGATGGATGGAGGGGGCAGATCACTTGTGCTTTTACTTACTCTGATGTGATCAGCCAGCTGCATAGTGCACTCCTCATTCTGATCTGCCAGATGGATGCTGTACAGATGCTAACGAATGACAAACATTAAATTAAGTTTTATGTCAATAGAAAAATGTGCATGAAGACGCACCGTATTATCCTCTCATGTAAAGTTGATGCTTTGTAAGATACAAGGGAAATAATGCTGTGCACCTGATAGTATTTGATGGCCTTGGTGAGTGGTTCCACATTGACCGTCTCGTCCAGCTGGTCTTTGTGCAGAAGGTCGATGAGGGAATCCAGAGATCGTTCATGAACGCTCATCTCCGGGTATAGAGAGCCCACCTTCTTGTAGACATCTACACTGCACTGAGACAAAGCTCTGGCAAACAGACACACAGCCGAGGATGCTGCAATAAATGCAATGTGCTTAATACAGCTCCATGAAATGTATGATGAGAAGAATAAATTAAAGATTGTCAATTGTGACCATCAACCGCATCTCTGTAGCCAAACTTACTGTTCATATTTGTGGAGAGTAGCTTGCAGCAGACTGAGGGAGTAGACGAGGCCGCCGGCGAAGCTCAGCTGCTCACCGACGGCTCCCTTCAGGCCGACCCGCTCCACACAGTTTTCATTCAGGTCAAACTTCTCCTGCGCCTGTTTGCTTATCAGCTCAGCCTGAGGAGGACACGCAAACACAGATGCAAGGAGATGATTCTAGCTCTAACAAATATGGTTCATTTATCCGTCTGAGGCATCCTTTCGCATCAGGTTAAGACGTCGGTCTTTAGAGCTCTTTAAGGTAGTTCAGACCTGGTTGGACTGCAGGAAAATATATGTACTATACTGTATGTAATTGCACATATATACTATATAGGCTTCATCTAATATGTTAAAACACCATGATTTGAAAACAAGTGTTTTTTGTATCCTCAGAAAGACGGGGAACCTTTGCACTCCCTCGTGCCTGATGAGGTTCCCATTACATTCCACCTACAATGCACCGCAATGGAGTCAAACACAGGACCTAGCGTTAGCATTAGCTAAAATCTACCTTGTGGATGAGTCTTGGGATGAGCAGCAGGACCAGGATGCAGTCATGGTCTCCACCATGACGAAGGAAGGATTCAGGCATAAAGGAAGTCAGAAGAGACACGTGCCTGTTGGCCTGAGCCACCTCCATCTTCCTCAGCTCCATCTCAATGGCCTGATAAGGCAAACACACTTTGAATGAATATCGATGGTAGGATGCTTCTTGTTAAGGCTAACAAACTCTGATACTGTCTGACCTTGGCATAAGCTTTTGTTTCTGCAAACTTAATCTTGAAATCAAACATTTCTGCTGGCGGCTGCTGCTGAAGCTCTGCTGAGGCCTCCTGTTGGCTGGTTAGCTCTCTGTTCACCTCCTGCAGCAAAAACAGGAGACAAAAACATAATTATTGACTTAACAGATCATGCGTGACCAAAGAGAAAGCTAAACATGCTTCAGAAATTAACAATAAAACGAGGTTAAAATGTGTAGGTGTACCTGCAGGTGAGCTGTCAGCTCTCTGTACTTCTTGATGGTCTGCTGGTAATCTGCCACAGTCTCCTGCGCCGCCTCGACTCGTTTCTCAGCCTCACGGACTCTGGCTGCGCCCAGGTCCAGCATCTCTCTGAGCTCCAGCTCTGTTTCTCTAGCGTTCTCCTGCAGCTCATCGTTCATCTCATTTATAGCTTCCTGCAGCCCAAAGACTCTATCAGAACCCTCTATGCAGACGATATGCAGATAAATGCATCTATAAAGACTCAGATTATTGTTCTTTGACACAAGAACCAAAAAAACTGCTATAACAACAATATTTTTAATGTTATTCTAATAACTTCAATTGTACCTTTTAAAGAGAAATTAGCTAAGACAATGACTGTTTGCCAATGTCCAAGATGGAAAAATCACATGTTCTGATTGTTGTATTTCTGTAGAATAATTCTAGCTGCTCACACGAGCATATTCTTTTAAAGGTCTTAAGTTATTAACATTTGTATATTCATAAACCATTATTTTCTTTAACTTCATCACATTATTTTCTTTAACTTTATTCATCTTTGGGTTCCTTAGGTAGTTTGTTTTATTGTTTTCCTATACTAAAACATGAAGTTTGTTGCACAGAATAGGTGTATATGTTTGGATTTTGCTCCATTCTCTTTCTCTCAGGTTTTTTTCATGAACATCCTGTCTGAGCTGCCGATCTTCTCTCACCAGGTCTGTGACCGTCTCTCTCAGCTCTCGGACTTTCTCCTCCAGATCCAGGTTTCTCTCTGTCAGAGTCTCCACCATCTCCTCCGCCCCCAAAGCTGCATCCACCTGACAGAGAATGCATATTTGCTCCCATGTAGCCGACCAATCACAGAGCATGGTGAGCACATCTGATGATTTCTCTAACCTGTTCCTTCAGCTCATCAATAGTCTTCTCTGCTGCTGTCATCTCTTCCTGCAGTTTTTCCTTCTGCCCCCTCAGAGAATCAAGCTCCATGTTTTTTTTCTCCATCTGCTTCTGCAGCTTTACATGTTCCTGCTTCTCTGATGCAGACAGGTCTCGCATCCTGGCAGGGAGTAAAGATAGTTTTTTTTTTTTACAATTTAAATTCAGAAGGTGTTTTTTTTCCAGTAAAGGGGCACTTACCGGACCAAAGCTTCCTTTAGCCGGCCGTTCTGCTCTTCCAGCTGTTTCACATGATAACTGGAGGCAGCGCCGTCTGAACCTGAGACATACCCAAAACAAATTGGAGTGACTTAAATGGTACATGTGTTTGTATTCAGCCCCCAGTTTCTTTGGTTCACAAAAACCATTGGTAATAAACCTTTAAATAGTGATGTTGCCTGATATCTGCTTCTTTTACATCACAAGAATTTCTTTTAAGGTGTTTAATCAGGCCTCTTGTGTAAATACGTCCATATGTTCTGTACCTTTTTCTTCAATCTCATGCTTGAGGATCTCCAGGTCCATGGTGAGCTCCTCCACTCTCTCCTTCAGGGAGTCGACCTCCAGCTGCAAGGACTCGGCTCGCTCCTCTGCCATCTCCTTATCCAGAGTCGCCATCTCGATGGCGTCGGCCGTGTCCGACATCTCCTCCATGTACCGCTCCTTTGCCTCCATGGCTTCTTTAGCCTCCTGCAAATGTAGAATAATTAAAAGTGTGAGAACATAACATACATAGATTTTTTGTTTTACAGCCAGCATCTGTTGTCCTTTATTAAGAGCTGAACATTGCAAACCTAATATTCAATCACCAACGTATCTCCTAGCTTACTGACACTTAAGACCAGGGGTCTGCAGCGCCATATAGCCTGAGTCCATCTAATGAAAAAATGATTAGAGCCAAAAATATTATGTGACCTTCAGCTAAAACACAACTTTTCGTTCAATACCCTGTAAAGAAAAGCTGTTAGTTTTAAACAACCAGCAGATCTTTAGGTTTTAGTGAAAACATAAAATGCTTAACAAAGAGGAAGCATGGATATTCCTCATTAGGATGCGATTTTAAAAATATCATTTTATTCCATTATTCTTGTAAGCATATAAAACCTTTCTAAATGCTAATGATAAAAAACATCTTGTAAAATGAAAGTGGCAAAACATACAATCCAGAAATAAACTTTAAAAATGTATTACTCAAAAAAGGCTTTGATAGTAAACTCAGTTTATTTTTTAAATGTATTCACAAGATTTTATTTTTTTAAACTGTACGTTTAGTTTTTTTCATAATTCTTTTTTTACAGATTTTGTTTTCAAATTTTTTTAAATTAAATTTTTTTTAGAATGATTTTTACGATTTGTGTTAATTTCAAATTGCGTTTTACAAATCACATTCTCTTCAGCTTGTCCTTTCCTGTGGATTTCATTGGATTTAATTTCACATTACTATTCAACAGGTGTCCAAAGAGGGTCCAAAGAGCCACAGGTTGCAGACTCCAGCCTTAGACTAAGATTAGCCTCAAACATTCACTTCCCACTTCCTACCCTTTTTGCCTCCTTGAGCTGCTTCTGCAGCTCTGCCTGCTGCTCCTGCATCTTGGTCTTCCACTCCTGCAGCTGCTCCAGCTGGATCTTGTGCTTCTCCAGCTCCTTTAGTTTGGCTTTGTCCTCTGTTCGTTTCATCTTCAGCGTCTCAAGCTTCTCGTCCAGATCCTTCACCTGAGCACGCAGGGCCTCCTCCTCCTATAGTGGGGGGACATGAAGGGTTACGAACACTAGTAATTCAAAGTGTGATCTTTGGTTTGTAATCTTTCTTTAATTGTGCTGTGTTTGTTATCCTCTGAAAAAAGGCCAAAAATAGCAGATTTCTCTCTAAAGACAAGGGCATGCTCACATGCTTAATTAAAGGTGTGTTTACAGGATACATATTTGCACAGAAGATGCAGAAAAACACACACCAGCGAAGGCCTCACACCCGGAATGAAGCCATCACACCTTTGACAGCTTGTTAAAATGTTAGTGAGAGAAACACAACAGTTCACTGCAGAAACATCACATCACCCCATATCTCTGCACCTTCGTTTCCATAACGACCTCCTCCTGAGGGGTGAGACAGAAATACAGTAACACAGGTTACCTCTAACCTTAAGTTTGGTTTCACTCTGATCTTTATTTATTCACTTTTCTTAATTACAGCTAATTATCCTTTGTCTTAAATATTTTCCAATCGAAATAAAGGAATCAGGGTAGAAATTATCTTTTCAGACTTTAATCAGATTTCTAAAACTGTGGCATAGAATCGAGGAAGCCTTCTGTTTTAGCCTTTGTGATGTGCTTAAACAGTTATCTATAAGCAATTTTGATTTCTTATCACACGTCTATACAAAAAAATTGCAAATGATGGTTTCACAATAACATTGACCAGTACCAATCCATGTCTTACAAATGTATTCTTTTTTTTTTTTATCCAAAACAAACCTTATTTCATAAAATAATATAGGAATATTGAGAACAGGTCCTGTTTTATTTTCTCATTACTAAACCAAATTATATTTACTAAAAAAATTATGAAGCAAATATACTTAAATTTTCTTAAATTTAGCTTTGGGATCACATTACATCTCTTTATTATCAGTAATTTCTCAGCCTTTTGGAAGCTGGACACATGTAAGCTGGCTTTATTTAACAACAAAAAAAAACAATATGCTGCATGATTTACTCTTCAATCCCAAAGAGTTTTATTTGGATGAATATGTTTAGTCAAACGTCAGTAACCTTTCTAAAAAAAAAAAGCATGGCAAAATGTCCTCATTAAGTGCATCAAAGACCACTACAGGAGAAAAAAAAAATCCAACAGGAAAAAACATTCTAATTCCTAGCTTGTCAAATATTGAGTGTTTAATCCTGATGCAAAAGGAGGTACCCCTCACGTCTTATATTGACGCTCAGGGTAAAAGACAGATTATGAACATTATATCACATGACCTGCGACAAAGTTGTTGTTGAAAGCTTCAGACTTGTATGGCGACATGAATACTAATATAAATAAAGGACATGGGTTACTGCTAGTTTGTTACTTTGTATTTCATAGAAATGTTTACTAAGTTCCTGCCACAACCTGTCATGCACCCAATGCATCACAAAATGATGAGGGCGGTAACCCCGCCATGTCAGTATCTGAGGCACCGGTGGCTAGACAAAGAGTCAATATTTGATCAGTACGGAGTGAAAACGCATTGGACGTATTATATATGGCATATAATGGTATCGGTCTTGGTAGAACAGGCTTCACAGTTAAACATGGAAACTCTCACCATTTTGCAACAGCCCTGATATTCAACATGCTCACAGCTGGATGCTCTGAGTGCTATTTTCTTTTTTTCTGATCAGACATGTTTGTCTGATCTGTGCAGAAAGGAAAGCTTATCCCTGATTCACAAACTACAAACGTTATGCTTTTTTCCTTTTTGGGGGCAGCCAGAACTCTTCTGAACCTGTGGAGCCACTCTAATTGGGAGCGTTTAATACATTAATAAATAATTGTGTACATTTTTGTATTTAGATAACACAAAATTAGAATTAGACTGTTCAATCAGCAAATAAACAACCCCACAGCATAATTCTGCCACCATTTTGTTTCCCTGTGGAGTAAAGAATATTTAAGTGAGGCTTCAGTAAAGGAAGAAGGCTCCAAACTCCCTGATCCAGATGTGTGGAGAGCATCACGGCACGTGTACAATACAATCAGTACTTGCTGGATATTCCTGCAGTCTTCTCTGTGATTGATTTTAACCTTGCAACAAAAATGTAACCATGAGAGATGAGCTGTGTTTAAGTTTGATCAGATTCACTATAAATTATGTTAATCATGTTCCAAAAACCCTTAATGTTAAAAATGGATAAAGAAAGTGCATAAAAACAAGATAGAGATAATTTTTTCAGCTTATTTATACAAGCTGTAAGTCACAATAAAGGTGTAAAAAATGAACATGCTTTTGCTCAGTTTGTAGTAAATAAAGCCCCTTGTTTATTTTGGCAATAACAACAGCGTCCAGGAGGTAAACAAGGAAGTCACTGGCTAAGCAACCTAGCACATCCCAGCAAAGTTATGAAAATAAAGAAGAAAAGTTCAAGATTCACAGTGAGAAAAAATGCAAAAAAAACATTTTGACTCTAAGAGGGATAAATAAACTCAAATAGCGATGAGAATAAAGTATAAACAGTGCTCATTGAAACCAAAGCTGAAGCTATAGCTTTCTGGGCTCTGTTTCTTGAAGCAGGTTTACCGAACACTCAATCAGTATGGCAAGCTGTTCTGATATGTACTATTGTACTAACATGTATTCCTAATATCTAAAAAGAAATTTTTTTCCCTGTCAAAATGACCATGTCAAACAAAAAGACATTCTCCACATCTAGAATAAACATTCTCGATGTCTATAAATTAATTTCATATCTCCATATTCCTTATATTACTGGTCAGCATTCATATTATTTTAACTACGCTCGCAGCTACAGCTCACACTGTAAACATGGTTACTTTGGTCTGTCAATTTTACAAAAAGAACTCCATTTCACTCGCACCCCATCATGCTTTTGTGTTTTCATCTGAGAGGAAGAAGAGGAATCCTTGTTTCCACATGCCCACTGAGTGATATGTACATGACGGTCAAACATCAAATATGTTTGATTTTCTCCTGACCTCATGATTCCTGATCGGGAGGTGGTCATGAGAGGCTGATCGCCCCTTGTTAACGCTGTACACTGCACAACGCACGATCAGTCTGAAAGTCTCGCACAACAGGAAAGTCATCCAGAAAAGGTACAAAAATCGTGCATTGTATGCCTGGCTTTAGGTTAAATACTATCAGGAATCAGGACAGACATTTGCTGTATGTACCCTAATTTTATCTGAATGGTTTTTGGTCTTTTTTGTACATTATAGGCATATTTTGTTACTATGATTCTTAAAAAAAGAACCATGTGTGAAAATCATGGCACTAGCATAAACCGTATGTGCAATAAATGGGCATCACTGATACTGAAGAGTTATCCAGGATTAAAAACTAGTATTTAGAGGTATTTAATATTCTAATTTAACAAATACATATTCGGATACACAACCTTCCCACACAATGTGTTTCTCCTTGTAATGGGAAGAAATTTTATTTATATTCTTTATTATTTTAGATTGAACAAAATTCGTTTTTTTATACATTGATTCGTTCATGTGTTTCAGCATGGTGCTGGTAAAGTAGTTAGAGTGTCGAGCTTGTGTCTGATTGAGTCATTCTGCAGGATGACAACAATAAAAATATGTGATTGAACTCATTTTTCTTTCTCTGTCAAGAATTTCTACATTGTAATAATCTAGAAGGATAAGTCAGGAATCTTTTTATTGCATTATCATGATCTATATGTACTCAAACAAGAACCTCAGCTGTGTGTTGGGATGCTTTGACGCTGACCTTGCTGGGAACGGGAGGCGGCGGGTTCCCTGGTGAGTGGAGGGTAGGGATGACCGGAGCTGCCAGAGGCGTCTGAGCCGGCGTGCTGGGCTCGCTGCTGCTCATCTCGCCAGCGGACGCCGATGCTGAGCCGGATGCGGCCCCCTTCCCACCGCCACCTGCAGGCCGGCTGGGTTGCTGGGAAAAAAAGAGATCAGATGTGATTAATAAAATATTAATGAATATGAAAAAACTTGGTTATATCTCAATGAATCTGCCACAAATGTGTTTAGAGTTTAATGCTGTGATATGTTGGTCTGATAGAGCTGGCTGCATCTAGCATCCTGGTTAAGATATCTCTAAGAAAACCTGCTCTGTTTTCATATGTTTTCAATAAGCGATAAATCTTATGATTTCTGTTGCTTTTGAAAGGAAACTTTAATCCATCCTAAATACCAAAATATGATCAGAACAAGAAAATAAATGCCCTAAACGGTCAAATCTAAACATATTACCAAACATGGTCCATCCACAGTCTCAAACACATCAAGAGTTGGTAGCAGCAACCTGATTTCTAACCTGAAAAGCTGAGTTGTACTCAACGTCTGCATGTTTTTTTCGACCAGTTAACACATGCTAACACTAGTAGGTTGCTAATGGATGCAAAGTTAGCCATTTTCATTATCAGCCAGATGTTAAAATTAAGTCAGGAGGAGCAGAGAGATGTAATAAGCTATCTTTAAAGGAAACCGTTGTATCTATGACATGTCTGATATTCAGACTGAGAAAAAAATGAGAGAGAGAAACACTTTCAACAGATAACAGGAAGGCTAGAAGAGTACAGCAAAGTTTAAGCTTTTTCCGTTTTTGATCTTGTCTATGTATGGAGTGAATCTTGTTTTATTATTGTTGTAAGCAAAAAACATGCTTTGTACAATGAAATTGAAAAAAAATAAAAAACATATTTTATGAACTGAAATGTAATGAAAATGCAATCCTGAAATCGAAATAAGAAAAATGTTCTAATAAAGGAAAAGGTTTTGATAGTAACTTTGCTGTTTTCTATTTTTTATTTTTTTTTTCATCAAATGTTACTTTGGTAAAGTGTATTTTTTATATTTCTTTCTAAATGGATATTACTTATACAGAGTTAATATCCTAACATTTTCTGTAAATGTTCTCCCTTCAAGTTGAGTTTCATGAATTGCTTTCATTAAAATTGCATTTTGAACATAACATCCTCTTCAATTCTGGGAGCGGGCTTTTTAGCCAGAGTAAGAAATGAAGACACATTCCTATTGGTCTCCATGGATATTAGCAACAATATTTTTTTGGTTAATGTGCACACTAAGAACATTTGTATTGTGCTTGAAGTAAAGCAAATGTGATCTGTAAAATACAATTTGAAAAGAATGCTATTTGTAAAACTCAAACTGAAAAACAGATATAACAAAATGAAAATGTATCATCTGGTAAAAACACTCAAAATGAAACACAAGACAAAAATTGAAACAAAACCAGAGAAAACAGCAAAGTTTCTCTCAAAACAACTGTCCAAGTTTCATTCCTGGGTTGCATTTTTCATTTTTTCAAATTTCTAATCAAAAATAAAGTTTTTTGCTTGCAACAATGTTGGAATTAAATTCACTCAAAAAATATGTTGGCAGCCTAATGAATAACAAAACAAAGGCATTATGATTGTTATTTCCTAGGGAAATAGATAAAACCCCATTTTGTAAACTAACAAGTTTAAAGGTAACTAACAAACTAACATAGTCACAAATACTCTGAACTAATTTCAGTTTAAAATGTGAATGTGCTGCTATTTAACAAAAGGTACTGGCAGGACAGCATATAGAAAATTTAGATCAGATTTGTCCACTAAATTGTAATTAGTGCTTCTCTATCGCTGCTTGGAGGCCCTTTGTCTACCCTTTAAATGTATGACTCAGCTAAAGATCTATGTTAATCTGCGTCTAAAAAATGGTCGAATTCTGATTTAAAAAACTGTGATTTGCTCTGTAAATTACACCATATTATGTATGTGTGTTTAGAGGGAAATGTAGGAAATGTGAATATAAAAATAAAATACATTTATCAAAATGCCTTAGAAATTATTTCTGCATGAGGTAAAACCAACAAGCAACCACACAAATGAAGTTGACTGAAAAGGTGCTGGAAGCCCTGATGGTGCTGAAGTCTGAGCTCACCTTGGGCCTTCTGGCCGTGATCTGAGGAGCAGAGGGAGGAGGAAATAAAGAGGAAGAGAGAAAAGGTGGAAGGGCAGAGGGAGAAGGAGGAGGAAAAGGGAGGAAACAAACAACCAGGGTTAGAGATTATATGCAAAATTCATTATAACTGGAAAACAACAGAAAGAAAGGATAAAATGGAAGGTGATAGAAACAAAACTGATCTATCCGATTCTCTGGCATTAAGAGCTCCTCCCACCCCTCTTAACTACTGTCTCTCTAACTCAACGCTATCTCAACTCTTCCACCAACACTACCAAAATCCTCGGAACTAACAACACACTGTGACTGGTACTGCCTCTTCCACATCAATGCCCACTTTGTGTCTCCATCTATCTCGTCTGAGCCAGGATCTATTGTGCTGCGAGCACAATTCAAACACGCAGAGATAATAGCCTGTTATCCTGATACATCACTTGTCGAGTCGGAGATGCAGCACACATCAGGCCAAAGAAGAAGGCAGAGAAATCCACAGGGTCTCAAGTTTCAACAGAAGACACTTGCTCCGAGCCAATCTGAGAAAATAAATCTTTACTTACATGACAACCTGTTATTATAAGGCCATACATTTTCTTTACTTTCAACCTCTAACCCACCACCTTTTGTTTTTTTTATATGTGCTCTCTGGCTGTGATCGTTGTTCTTGTTGTTGGACTAGGGGACTAGAACTCTGCCTAAGAGGAGGAAAGCTGCTGCACCCAAGTCTGATAAAATCTGCCTGAACTGAGCCACCAGGTTATAAAACAGATAAAGCACCTAAGTGAGCGATGATTTCTCCTGCTGAATGCAGAGGATCCTGCTGGTGTTTCCATTTTTTATTACATGTCAGCAAGACAGACTGAGCCGGTCGAAAGGATTTCCAGGAAGGGTAAATAGGTAAAATATTCTACACAGTAACAAGCATCTAAAAAACTACAACTTAACTGGGCTGTTTTTTTATTTGTTCTGTATTCTTTCCTCGATTTATGGAAATAAAAAATCAACCTCACCCAAAATAATGTGATAGTGTGGCTATCAATAGGGTCAGTTTGATCTAAATAAGATCTAACAATTAATATTTTTAAATTAAAGCTTCAATATTTTATTTTTTTTTCTCTTTATTTCTAAAAATATTTTATTTAACATTGTCATAATAATCATTAACTATTAATACACATTTCTAACTGATCAAAAACAAACATATCATAATATTAGAAAATATACAGAAAAATCAACTTATTTCTTCCGTCTTATAATGAAGTTTTGAAAAAAGGTATTACTAACAGATTTTTGTCCTTTCATTAAACAAATCTTAATTTTAAAGAAAGATGAAAGAAAAATTGAAAATATAAAAAACAGACTTGTGATTTAATAAGCAAATAACAGTCAAACCATTGAGGTTTTAATAGTAGAAATCATTTCCCCTAAAATTAATTAGAAATTCAATCAAGAGTTTACCAGCAATGAGTGTTAAAGCGCTGCAGAGGAATGTTAGCCCACTTTGTTTTGCATAATTGTTGTGATTCCGCCATATCAGAAGTCATCAGAAAAAGCTTTATATGATGACATTCTCTACCAGAAATCTGTTTAGATTAATTTCAGTAGCCACACCAAAAGCTGCAAAGCAATGGCCTACGTGTTTGACAGCCCTGTGATGCTATATTTTGAAGCACTGTGTACGTTTCACACCAGATCTAATTAAAGTCAACGTTTACTCATCAGTCCACAGAACATATTCCCTTTAGGCACTCTTCCCTAAAACTGGTTTTAGCATGAATGTCCTTCCAACGGTGCAAGTGCTCGCTTTCTAATTCCAACAAAGTTAAAAAACAAATGTTTCTAATTGTTTTTTTATGACAGCTCTAGGACCTTTAGATCAGACGACATGTTATGGGAATAATTTTGGCAGGCTGACGTCATCTTATAAAGTTCCACAGCTGTGTTATGTAGAGGTGCACTGAAGATAGGTTTCTAGACGATCAGATTACTGGTTGTTTAAAATCCTGAAATATCGATTCTGATTTGGACTGATACGTTTTTTTTTGTTTTTTTTTTATAATTTACTGTCAATCACAAGACATCTTAAATATTTAAATGTGTTCTTACTGAAGACTATTGAACAGTACCCCAGAAACACAAAGAACTGCTCTCAAACATAAATGCAAAGTTCAAAATATTAAGAGTAGGTGACTTTCAGACCTTTGCAGAAGTAGAAAAGTTCAGCAGTTCTTTCAAAACCAGGGAAATCAAGGCCAATCAATCGGACGGCAGTTTGATCAGTTCTCATCTGTTCTTACTCTACATTGGGCTTTAAGAGATGCTTTTATAGATTTTCTAATCCTACTTCATGTTATCAGAAGGGTACTCTTTAAAGTATTATTTTTTAGATTCATCATGTGTTGCAGGAGTGTTGCTAATCAAGGTTAATTCCTGATTTAAGAAGAGCCCTCTAGGTCGGTTTGTATCGCTTTTTTTTACTAAATAAAATTATTTAAATACTAGTGTTTTTTTCATCTTTGTAAAAGTAAAATTTATTTCGTAATCAAAAACATTTAAGGGGTACCAAAAAGCGCAAACAAACATTTGCAAATACTTCTTTACAGTACTGTAAACCAGGATTAATGGCTCCAAACATCTCTCCTCTTTAAAGGGCATATGCACAAACAGACATGCATAAGTTCCTGCACTTTTCTGTCCCGTGCAAACCAGCCTCTGCTGAGCTTAAGGCATCATTATCGCTTCATCCTTCTCTGTTGGATTACAGAAGGATCATTCAGATGAACTGAGGCTTAGTAATGTAAACAGCTATAGCCGATGATTAAGTAGAGCTGAGTGACTATCTAAAGCCATCACTATTTGGACACAAACTAATCAGAAAAATCAGGCTGATTGCAATGCAAAAAATTAAATAAAAATAAATAAATTAACTATAAGTTTTCATTTTAGGCAACAGAATATTACAAAGCTGCAGACACATGCTTAAACACAAAGTCATTCTGCTCCCAAAAGTAATAAAATAATATATCACGCAATAAGAACACAACAGGAAGACTTTCCACTAAAGAAAACTTCTAAGCACGCCCTTCATAAGACAAATGGATGATGATGACAACAACAACATCACAACAGATAAAGAAGATTATAGGAAGTTTCTGTACCTTCCGGGTTGTAGGGGTCTGTCTCATCATTTTTGAAGGAGGAGAAAACACACACAGACAAGAGACAGTCACCAAGTCACACACACAGGAAGGAGATAAAACAGGTAAAGATCCACAGAGAAAGAGTTCAGGGCAGGCAGGTTGGAGCCGAACAATCAGACAGGCAGCGGTTCAGGCTAGAGAAGCTGCAGTGGTGCAAACGGCATGACGATGTATTCCCAGGCTCCCCCACCCTCCCTCCCTCTGCCGATCCCTTCCTCCTACTGGCGTCCTCCTTTATGTCCTCTTTCTCGGTTTCTCTCATAATCCGTTTGCCGGAGCTTTCAGTCGATGCCTTCCCTCTGCTTTCAGCTCTGATCTGGGGCTCTGAGAACCTGCAGACATGAGCTTTGGACCTGCCACTGTTGCCTGCTATACAAGAGATGCCCCTGCTCCCTTAACCTGCCCCGTCTCCTCTTCCTCCCCTTTTCCCTTATTGTGATTTGTCAGCCCCGGCTGATGCCGCGCTCCTGCATTACATCACTGTGTGTGCCCTCCCTGCCTCCTCGTTGCTCACCCACTCATCACCACCTCGACTAGAGACACACAGACAGAGAGGGCGGGAGGAATGGGTGAGGCAGCAACTGGGGACAGACGGGAGGAAACAGAGGCTGAGACAGAGGAGGGCGGCGCTGTAAATGGAAGCGTCAGGGAAAAATGAGCAGCAATGCTGCCTGACGTCTCCTAGCAACATGATAGGCCCTCCAATGGGATTATCATAATAAGGTTCACAGCAACCAGGGAGTGTGTTGGGGGGGGTCTACCTGTATTGCTTGAAGAAATATTCATTAAAAAAGGGACTCCAGATTATTATCCACAAGTTATCTTCTATTTCCGATCCTAAATTCTATGAATTTAAACAGTTCTGGTTGTCAACCTGTTGCTGGTAACAGAGTCTCCTACTTCCACTCCACTAAAGGCCTTCACTTTCCCCCGGTGCTTGAAAGTGAGCTCAATCTCTATGTTCCCATCTGCCTCTCTGTGCCGACAGGATTTGTCCTCTAACCTTTAAAAGTGAAAACCTTCCATAGATGCAGCTCAGTGACATTTAGCTTGTTACAAGCAGTTGGGTTCCATAAATGTCATCAGTCTAGATTTGATAAGAAATGATAAAAAAAAGAAAGAAAAAACATTCAAAAGGCTTCATTTTAGAAATGAGGATTAATATCATCTAAGTAACATTTTCTTGGTAAAAGTATTTACACCCCCCGAATGTTACCCTAGTCTGCCACAACTGTGTTAACATATTAAATCATGATTTTATGACAACAAACATAAAATACAGTTTTTATATGTTTTTTTACTAAACCAAGAAATGTGTGTAGTTGTATTCAGGCAGAGACAAAAGTCTTTAAATTCCATAATACAAATGTTTTGATAGAGACTTGGTAAATATGCTGAAAATATATATAGTAGGATTTTAGTTTTAACTGCTTATACTAATATTTGGCCAAGTCCATGTGCCTGACTGTCCTTAATGGCAACACTAGATGTAAGGTGAATTATTCTGGCATCATGGTACATTACACTATAGTATTGAATTTTAGGGAGTATTAAGCAAAATTATACCATTAGGTGGGGCTTTTGAGGAATGTCTGTAGATCGATCAGAACAACATGGCGCCTCTCTCTACCTCTCTACCTACTAATCCAACCTGCCATGTCCAGTGAAGATGGACATGGCAGGGTTCTTCTGAGCCTCAAGTCGGCACCAACGCTTTTTTTTTTTTTTTTTTTTGCTTGAATCAAATTAATGTAACACAGAGAAAACGCCATTTCTCAGCGCTGTCATGAAGCTACTAGGATCTGGAAATGCCATCTTTATTTCTAGAGGTGGTGGCATCATTTTTGAAACAATCATTAATATAGTTTATTTCTTTCGGTAAAAAAATATTTTCTGCAACACTAGATGTATTTCCTCATGCGTCACCCACATGGCTTGTGACAAACAGAATTTCTAAACTTTCTCTCCACAACCTTTCTTCTCCCCCCTGTTCATCACTGTTCCATCAACAAATTTTTTTCCACCTGACATCAAAACACTGCATCTCCTCTAGAGTGTAACCCCCGGCTCACCCCTTGCTCACACTGGCTCCGGTGCGGTTACCGAGCCGACGGAGACCGCAACTCTGATCAATGCTTTCTTCTAGGGACTCTGTAACATTTCTTGGCTAGTTTCAATACTTTCTGGGCCCTTTTTTTGCATTTATTTTTAATCAGTATTAATCTATCCATAAAAACCCTCAGTTATTGAGCTTTTTAACATTTATTGAGTTGTGCTGTAATAGTGTGACAAAATGGGGAAAAATACACAGTCCTACTTTTATTGCAGAATGTACAGTGGGTGTGACTTCATTAGTTTACAGGTATTCCCAATAGGTCTAATTGGTGATCTGAATCCTTACAGCCAGAAGCTATTTGAGTAATTCTTGTGATATCTCCCTAAGCTCCTCTAATCTCCTTCTCCCGAAGCCCAGCAGATAGTTAAAGAACAATAAGAGGATTATTTCAGGCCTGATACTCTGATTAGCTGCAAGCTTTCAACTCAAAACACTCAAATCAGGAACAGAATTATGATGAAAGAGAGGATTTGTTTAAAAAAAAAGAACAAAACTGTTTATATGTATCATAACAGAGTCGTTGAGGAAAATCATTTGGCTTTAAATATTAACGTCTTTCTCTGTAAGCCATTAGGTTGCTCTCCACTGTGTAATTGAAGGGATACTCCCAGAGTGATGTTAGCAGCAGGAAAGAGAGGAGCAACCAGATGAGATGCAGATCTATCGGATTTCAGCTTTCCAAGCAAAGAAAAGCTTTAGTCCCCGAGGGCATTTGGTGCAAGACAAAAGAAGGATTGAATTACCTCCATGAGAGCATTAACAACACACAACCAGACACCCACAGCTTGTACGTTCTGGGCATTTCCACAAACTACATGTCTCTTTCCCTTATCTATACATAGGATGCAGACTTTGAGAGCCGTCCTGTTTGTTCAGAAATGTCAGCCTCCTTCCGACTCACCGACAGAACATTTAAGGTTCAGCGTTCAAAGTTCTCCCTCTGTCGGTAAAATTCAGCCTCCTGGCGTGGAGATGCTGGGCTAAGAATGATCAAATACACCAAGCCGACAGGAAATCTATGCTGTGCAGGTCTCCACAGACAGGAGGGCGTCTCATTTCACCTCAATGACTCTTACATTCTCTGTTCAATAAGGCAGAGGAGCGTCTGCATGTATTAGTCAGATGACAAGGTGAGTTCAAAAACCTCTTAATTCATCACTTTATAAAATGAAAGGGAAAAAGTAAACTAGGCATGCAAATGTACATTAAATCTATATCAACATAGTTCAATAAGTTGGGCCTCCTGCTGCAGGACAATCTGAGATTGTTACTAATAATGTCAAATTTATATATTTATATATATATGTAATGCAAGAATTGTCATGTTAAAAAATATGGTAGTTAGCATGGGCAAATACTAATATCTATTTATAGCTAAATATGCTAAATAAGTGCTTAATCATTTGATATTTTTTAACTAAACGACAAAAAAAGGTTTGTACTAATCTTGAAATGTATTTATTTTCTTTTAAAATTGTGCTAAAATCAGGATATTTTAAATCTATTTTCATTAAACAGCAAACCTCAGCCCCTTTACATCTGTTCAACTGCTTGTTAAGATAAAGTATGAATCAAAGCAAAAACAAGGCAGCATTTCAATCCATTTCCAGATGTACTGAAGGCGACTCCCTGGGGAGGAGTAGGAGGGATGAAGGGGTGGTCTGGAAAATGTTAAAGTCTGCTGATCGATTGGATTTGTCGTGCATAACCATCTCTAAGAGTATACAGAGATTGGTCTGAAAGAGAGAATATTTCCAGTAAGCAATGGTTCTGGCGCAGTAAACAAACACCCTCTCTATCTGATCAGGAAGGGTGGTGTGAAGCAGACCTCCATGATTCCAGCTCAAAGTTGAGGCAAAGTGAGTCTTAAGCAGCGTATCTTCACAGGGCATCAACTTTTAATTCTTAGCTAATGTCTGAGGTGTGAAAATCGTTTTTATGGCCATAAGAGGTCTCACTATTTGTTCAACCTTCAGAAGTTACAAGCTATGGGGACTCCATGCTGCCTGTCAGTCTCTATGAGAATTCCATATGGAGCCTTTTTATATTGACACACGCAGCAGGGAAGTACGATCCTGATTGGATAACATGCAAATACTCGTCACTTCCACTGAGGCTACACCTTTTATGGGCTCTATGTCCAAGGGCGGGTCATGATGCTGGCAACTCGATGCTGATTGGCAGAACACACTAAAAGATTTGACTGATAGTGGGCAGACAGAGGTGAGGTTTTCCTCATGAGGCTTTGATTAGAGAGGAAAAAGTAATCATTCAGTCAGAATAGTCGTCTTGTGCTGAACTCTTGCTATGAATACTAATGTTTATTATTTCAAAACACTATACAACAGTTATTTTCACCTGTTAAAGTAATGGATTTTTAATGCAATACGTAATGTCTTAATTTTATTGATATTGTTGAGTCTCCCTAGTTTCAGAGAGCAGCAACTACCACTGATTTCATAATATATTCCCCTATAGGTGAGGTTGAAAGGATTCAAACAGCAGGATATAGGACCTTTAAAGGAATAGATCTGTTTTCATCTGGTGGCATGTGTGAATAGTTTAAAGGCAACCTCTCAATAACAAATCAGTGACCTCCAGAAAAGAGATGCAGAGTTCCTTTTTCAGAGATTCAATCATCTTTGAGAATGACAATCTTCCACAAATCCATTAATATAGCAAATCTATCATGACTGCCTTCTGGGGGCAGCAGCAACCCAGACGTCTGGATAGGTTCAGTCCTTGGAGCTAAACCTGGTAACAAAGTGGCATCATTTCTGTGCACATACAATAAGCCTTTCAATGTGCTTGAGGAAAACCTTTTTTTTTAGTTTATGTCAGTTTGCTTTTGTCAGAACAGATCATCTATACCACAAAACCTGATTGGATGAAAAATGTAAATATTTCAACACCTGGCCTACACACTAACAATATAACGTAGACATTTTCCTTTTATTTATCACATTTAAATTTGTGCAGAAAGCAGACGGACACAGAGCAGTGAGACAGAGCAAACATGGCGGACAGACCTGAATGAAAGCATAGAGAACAGAGCAGAGGTGGGTGAAATAAATTCAGGAAATGATGGCGATAACAGACATAAAGCCTCATTTCTGCCAGCCTTCACTTAGCGCCTCGCCACGAGCGCCAGGGGTGGCGGTGTAGTGAGCGGCGAGGAATCATGAGATTATGACGAGGGGGCGGCCCCCTTTGCCATGCAGCAGCTAGGCCATTCAGAGCCACGGCTACCATGGTGACAGCGGTCATTGTCATCATAACACTGCAGCAGTACCGAGTTTAGGGAAACATGCAGCACCTTTCTGGGCTTCAGTCCTCGCTGCGTGGTCCAAGGAAGGACGGGAGGGAAAGGATGGAGGGGGGAGGTTAAAGGTCAAGAGAAAGACAGTGGCATGCAGGGGTTGACGGGAAGTGATATACTTTTCGTTATCTTCGGAGGCTGCGGTCACACATTTAAATCATTTACAGCCTTGGTTTTACTCATTTGTTTGCTTTCTTGTGAGCTAAAAATGCAATGTAGGTCAAAATAATTAATACCCCTTGAACTTTAACATGTTTCAAAGTGTTTTAACAGGATTTTACATGATGAATCAACACAGCACAGTGTGAAGTAGACGGACTTAGACTTTCAAAGTTAGAACAGAAAATGTGTCACCTCAACTATATTCAGTCCTTTTTAGGTCAGTATTTTGTGAAGCCACCTTTGGGTGCTAGTAGCTGCAGATCTTCTGGAGTATGGCGTTTTACATTAAGAGACTGTATTTTATGCCCTGCTTCTTTACAAACCAGCTAAAATTCACCCAGACTGAATATGTCTGAAAATCAGTTTCTAAGTCTTAATTGGATTGGATTTAAAGGTTTGACTAGGCCATTCAAACATAAATACACTTGGATCATAACCATCTTTACAAAACTCTTCATACACTATCATTTGAAGCTTCTACAAGAGTTACTTTCAAGGCAGGTTCATATTTAACTTCACTCACTGAATAAATCTTTTAGCACAGCTAAGTGTTGCTACCATATTTGCTATAGTGGGAGAGGTGCGTTCAACTAACCAAATGTTCATCAGAAAAAAATGAAGACTTAAAGAATTAAATTATTTTCTCTGCTTTTAAAAGTACATTATATTCAGGAAATGGCACTAGTTATGTTACAGCTAAAGCCAAATGGTTTCACTGAGAGATATTTGAGGTTGATAGAAAAAAAAAAAAAAAGAGACTGAATACGGATAAATGCCACTCATAAAAACACTATGAAAACCCTTTACAATCATGTGCTACTTTGGACAGATCCAGATAGAAAACGTTGCAGACGTTTTAAAAGAACAACATTTTAAAAGGTGTATGGGATATTAGCATATGTTTTGTGGGGTAATGCAAAATAAACCCACTAAATGTGTTAAACTCCATTGATGTTGCTGTGATATTATTTATGCCACCTTAAGTTGAGATCAGACCTATAAGAATATCTGTGAGGGTTTGAGCTCTTCTAAGAAACTGTTGCCTGTACATGTTTAATTAGAAAGTTCAGTTTCTGTAGGACTAAGGTAAATAGAAAAAGAAAAAAAAAACTCATTTGTATCCCAATAATCATCAATTTTGGTTTAATTGAAGAGAAATAACGCCCTCTGCTGGACAATGTATTAGCCTCTGGATCAAACCAGGAACAAGGACAATGAAATGCATTATTTTTTACCATGCCATAGAAAAAATCTGTTGTGTTATGCTAGGTACTATGCGTTCAGGTTTAATGCCATATATTCCGTAGAGAAAACCGTACCACTGTGTAGTCATCTAACCTACCAGTTTGGCAGACTTGGACATCTCCACGATCTCTGCAGATAAAGCAAAGGAATAAAGATAATAAGAAACATATTCAAATGGTATTATCATTCAATTATGCTTTACAAGATATAAGGTTCAGAAAGAGGTCCAGTTATGAGCACAATAAAGGGTCAACACTTAGCACAGCACAGTTTGAATCTGATATATTTGATGCACATTTATTATTATTTTTTTTTATTTGAATGTGCTGACTGGTGGAACAGCTGCACCAGCAGGTAAAACCTTCAGACGAAAAGTTATATTATAAACATATTAAAGAAAACAAATTAAAAAATGAAGACACAATTCTAATTGTGTCATTACAGTCAAAAACTTTATTGCATGCATTCAGTTAACATGATTCCATAATTTGTAGCCTTTTAAAACAGGAAAAAGGATGTCACTGGGAAAAAAAGGATATCTATAGCAGCTTTACGAGTAACAGGTGAACATTTTGGCTAATTTGTGATGTCTACATATAAAGTTCAGTCAGAGGACAGAGAGCATCAGGGGGCATCAATTTACAAGCCTCAATAAAAATTCAGGGTATCCTGAGTGATCTCTATAGTTATGCTTCTATAGGCTTAGGCTGCTGGAGGACCACTTTTCGTCACTCTGTTTCACTATATCTGTTTTTTCGAATTCTGAAGTATTCGTTAGTTCAACCACTAACTTTATGTTCTCTCAGCTTTTCCTTGTTATAGTAGCTTCATCTGGTTTGGTTTTGTTTGCCTGTGAGGCCATCCTGGAGGGAAGTATCAGTTGTGCTGCTGCCATCAGCACCTCCGATTATGGATGATAGAGTTCTCATACTCACTGTACTGGCTAAGAGCTCATTAACTACTTCGTTCCAAGACTGAGCCACCTGTGAAGGTAGTTTACATTTAACTCTTCGCACATAGACAGTATTTCCACTTCGGTGCCCCATGTTCTTTTTTGTCTCCTTCTTTCTTTAAGCCCCAGTTGGCCTTGGCAGAAGACCACTCACACTGAGCCTAATACTGCTGGAGTTTTCTCCTCCAGTTAAAAACTGAGTTTTTACTCTCCTCTGTTGCAGCATTCAGGCTCAGTGTGAGGAATGCTGTAGAGTCAGTGACAAAATGCAAGCAAAAATCTATGGTTGCCACATGCTCATCCAGGAGAAGCAAATCATGCAAAGTAAATGATTGGATGCTATCAGCTGGCTTTTTTTTTGACAGAAAACATTTTACCAATCTGACTATAATCTTACTGAAGTGCCTTGCGATGGCGTATGTTGTGAATTGAAGAATATCTTCAGATCTGATCCTAGTCTCATATATTCAGCTGCTTCCAACAGCTTTCCCTTAAGGATTGTCCTGTATGTAGCCCCGTCCATCTAGTGTTTTCAGTGCAATCAATGTTTCATTTTCTATCCCTGGTGATTGCCTGGTGATGGCTTTTGCTAACAATAAAATTTAAAGTTGTTAATTAACTGTTTAGAAACTTCAGACTAGACACAAAGGTTCTACTGCTGACAGACAGCCATTTCAGGAGGCATTTTGTGGTTCAAATTTTGAAATATACTTTAACAGATAGAGATGTTTTACATCTCAGAAAGGCCTTCTTAGCTTTTATAATTTTAACTTATACAATTAATCTGAAAATAAATCAACTTTATTAGATAATCTATATTAGAAAGCTATAGTTCATTATTTAAGAAGAAGGGAAACGAGGAACACTTAAAAGAGAAAAGTATTATTTTCCATTCCTAACCAGCACTAGGAAAAACCACAAGCTAACCAGAAACATTTTCCATATCATTTAAGAATGTAGGAAACTAATAGGCGTGTCTGAGTTGTTTTTTTCCCTGTGGGAGATCTTACCTCGTTTGGGGACCTTGCCAACGGTTGGCTCAGGTGTCTCTGGAGATGTGTCCGCTCCATCGTCCACCAGCTGGATCTGGGACAGAGGGACACAGAACAGGAGGCAGTCAGTCATGCCTGTTCAACCAGCTCCCTGTTTTACAGAGCGGCCCAGCTGCCAGAGACGGATGTAAGCAGGAGAAATATGGAACAGAACTGGCAGAGAGGACCAGCATAAGTCATACAGGTTTAGTTTAGTTTAGTTTAGTTTAGTTTATTTAGGATCCCCATTAGCTGTAGCAAGCTACAGCTATTCTTCCTGGGGTCCAACAACAAAACATGAAATAAAAAAAAAATTACAAATGAAATAAAATTATGTGGACATTAAAACAACATCTCCCATAATCTATACATATACATATATACATACACACATATACACATACATATATACCTATACATATATACCCATATACATAAACAGAAACAATCCAAACTACCGTAATCAAAACAAACTACAAAGCACAGCAAGTGAAGAAGACAGTCCTAATCGTGTTTTACCTCTATATTTAATAAATGTTCTTTCAATGATTTTTTAAATTTCCTTAAATCAGTTATCAGTTTAATGTAATTCGGCAGTAAATTCCATGCTTTCATACCTCTATACATAACAGTTCTTTTTAAGGCATTTGACTTTACTTTAGGCAAACTAAAGTTTCCTTCAGTCGCATGCCTAGTCCTATATTCGTGATTCTCTGAACTAAAAGTAAGGTTTGTAAATAACATATAAGGTGTTTTTAATACAGATATGTTTCTAATCATAACAGTCAATGAGTATGAAAGTCTGTCTTTAACTAACAACCAGTTTAACTTTTTATTGGTCATAAAATTAGAATATCATGAAAAAGTAGATTGATTTCAGTAATTCCATTTAAAAAGTGAAACTTGTATATTATATTCATACATTACATACAAACTCATATATTTCAGATGTTTATTTTGTTTAATTTTGATGATTACAAATGACAACAAATGAAAATCTCAAATTCATCATATCAGAAAATTAGAATATTGTGAAAAGGTTCAAAATTGATGGCCCCTGGTGCCACACTCTAATCAGCTAATTAACTCAAACCACCTGCAAAAGCCTTTAAATGGTCTTTCAGTCTAGTTCTATAGGCTACACAATCATGGGGAAGACTGCTGACTTGACAGTTGTCCAAAAGACGACCATCGACACCTTGCACAAGGAGGGCAAGACACAAAAGGTCATCGCTAAAGAGGCTGGCTGTTCACAGAGCTCAGTGTCCAAGCACATTAATAGAGAGGCGAAGGGAAGGAAAAGATGTGGTCGAAAAAAGTGTACAAGCAAGAGAGATAACCGCACCCTGGAGAGGATTGTGAAACAAAACCCATTCAAAAATGTGGGGGAGATTCACAAAGAGTGGACTGCAGCTGGAGTGAGTGCTTCAAGAACCACCACACACAGACGTATGAAAGACATGGGTTTCTGCTGTCGCATTCCTTGTGTCAAGCCACTCTTGAACCACAGACAGCGTCAGAAGCGTCTTGCCTGGGCTAAAGAGAAACAGGACTGGACTGCTGGTGAGTGGTCCAAAGTCATGTTCTCTGATGAAAGTAAATTTTGCATTTCCTTTGGAAATCAAGGTCCCAGAGTCTGGAGGAAAAGAAGAGAGGCACTTCATCCACGTTGCTTGAAGTCCAGTGTAAAGTTTCCACAGTCAGTGATGGTTTGGGGTGCCATGTCATCTGCTGGTGTTGGTCCATTGTGTTTTCTGAGGTCCAGGGTCAACGCAGCCACATACCAGGAAGTTTTAGAGCACTTCATGCTTCCTGCAGCTGACCAACTTTTTGGAGATGCAGATTTCATTTTCCAACAGGACTTGGCACCTGCACACAGTGCCAAAGCTACCAGTACCTGGTTGAAGGACCATGGTATCCCTGTTCTTAATTGGCCAGCAAACTCTCCTGACCTTAACCCCATAGAAAATCTATGGGGTATTGTGAAGAAGAAGATGCAATACACCAGACCCAACAATTCAGAAGAGCTAAAAGCCACTATTAGAGCAACCTGGGCTATCATAACACCTGAGCAGTGCCACAGACTGATCGACTCCATGCCACGCCGCATTGCTGCAGTAATACAGGCCAAAGGAGGCCCAACTAAATACTGAGTGCTGTACATGCTCATACTTTTCATGTTCATACTTTTCAGTTGGCCAACATTTCTATAAATCCTTTGTTTTTATTGGTCTTCAGTAATATTCTAATTTTCTGATATGATTTTGAGATTTTCATTTGTTGTCATTTGTAATCATCAAAATTAAACAAAATAAACATCTGAAATATATGAGTTTGTATGTAATGTATGAATATAATATACAAGTTTCACTTTTTAAATGGAATTACTGAAATCAATCTACTTTTTCATGATATTCTAATTTTATGACCAGCACCTGTATACAACTGTAAACCATGCTATTCCACAACCGTTTTCTATTTCTGTATCAAAAGAAGGTACATACATCAGATGTTAATCACAGCAGGTATGCAGGAGGGGCAGTACAGATCCTTTGGCACTTGTTTGGCACATTTATCTCAATTTGAGCAGTCTAAGGGTGTAATTTTATCTGATAAATAATAAACATGTGGCTGACCTTCAGCAGTTTGCATCTATTGGTACCACTGGTAATTACTATATCTGGGGGAAAAGAATCCTGTAAAATAATGCATCTTTAATAACAAACAGCATGATTTCTCACTGAAAAATCTAGAGAAACCCATCTTTTTAAACAAATACATAAAGTTAGTAGTAGCCCTCCAGCTGATATTTTTACAGCTCACGTCGGCCAACAGGACAACACTTTGAAGATTTCACTAGACAACGGCATAACGGCAAAGGTTTTCTATAAATCTGAGGTCTTCAATGGCTACATAAAGGACAATCCTTAAGGGCAAGCTGTTGGAAGCAGTTGAATATATAAGACTAGGATCTGAATATATTCTTTAATTCACTACATACGCCATCGCAAGGCACTTCAGTAAGATTATAGTCAGATTGGCGAAATGTTTTCTGTATATACATTATATACAGCATATATTTGCTGTTTCAGCTTCTACATTTATCTAAGTAAAGAATTATAGTACTTTTAATACATCTGTTTGAGCCCGTCAGAAGAGTCTCTTGTGGTGTGGACTAGATCAGATTTGCCACACTGCAAAAACAATCTAGAAATAAGTCAACATTTCTTAAACTAGGTGTAACCACTATTAATTTAAGCAGGTCTATAAGATGATCTCCCAATGGAATTAATATTTTTACTCTTAAAATAAGACAAGTGTCTCACTTACATCCTCAATTTAAGATCAAATGCACTTATTTTAAGAAAAAAATACTTATTTAGATTTTTTTTTTCCAATGCATAAATGCAAACTGGTTTAATAAATGTTGCTGATGATAATTAATTGAAACCAAATGCAGTCATATTGTTTCATCCTGAAGAGAGAAAGTTATCATTTTAAGCCTAAAAATTAATGAAAATAATGAGTGAGTGTGTGTGCTCTTCTTACTTGTAAGTAGGTCAGATCAGACACAGAAATCAAACAGATCCAGAGTTTTATAAATACTAATTTCACTGTAATACACAAAAATGGTCTACGAAGTATAGTTAGGCTAAAAAAAAAATAGAAAAAAATCTAAGAACTAGAATGCCACGTAATATAAAAAAGCAGCAGTAAATGGCAGAGGCTTTTTAAAGAGGACATTGTAAAATCCCACAGTGACAGCCAGTGGCAAAAAAAACAAACAAACAAACAAAAAAAAAACAAGCAAAGCATAAGAACAGAAGGTGTAGGTGGGAACAATCCTGACCCTCAGGGGTCAGAGCTAGATTTTCCTCTTGTGTGCTCAGTATGTAAATTAAGGTGTATTTTTTCTTTATCTCACCTGTGATTGTCTGACAAAGATGCCGTGGTTCTCCTCACAAGTAAAGTACCGCTTGCCCTGCACCGTTCCGTCATTCTTGCCCTTGGGTTCATCCAGGATGACGCCCACCCACTTTCCGGAGGCGAACAGCGTGGTTCCGATGTAGGCCACCGTGCCCCGCTGCCCCTTGCCGATAACCTCCACCAGGGAGCCCACTTTAGCGGGCCTCCCTCCTCCATCAGAGCTCATCCTGCTGCTGCCACTGCTGGTGGTCTGGATAGAACACATGGAAATAAGAAAATTAAAAAAAAACACAAGCAGGATTAATTCTTCTAGAACTAACACCTGACTTAATACATATATCAGTCCTTCAGACTCCTGGTTATGCTGGTGTGAATAAAACTCTTTACACTTGTTTTCAAGTTTTCTTTTTAGGCTTGTTAGATGTGATAGAAGCTGTTAAAAGAAGAAGATAGGATGTCTTTCTGCCTTGATATCAAATGACACTAAAAATAGATCATGTGCTACAAACATTCAGTACATAAAAGCTTCTTCATAAGGCAAAATCAGCAGGAATGAATTAAACTAGAAGAGCATCAGCAGTTGAGAGTAGAAGTTAAATAAAATCCAAACTGAAGGTTTGCTTTGGCTCAAATTTTACTACAATAAAAAAAATTTATATCACACTTGATCCATCTTATTTATTGATCTTTGGACATCTCAATGTTCCATTATTTAGAAGGACCACATGTTTTTATTAACTGGGCTAATGGTTGTCTAACTTTTTGCTAATGCCAGCATTAACTGAGAAACATCAAAAACAGAAACATTGAAGAAGCTGAAGGGCATTTGTGTTTATTCTCCATATGGTTACTTGACAAGACAGATCACTTCTCTTAAGAAAAACATCCAGACAAAATAAAAATAAAAACAGATTTGAGGTCTATAAAGTGCCGATACTCTAATGACTTATCCAGATATAATACTAACTTGGCGTGCTACTGACAATAGCAGGTGTTTTTATATTTTCACTACTGTTAATCTACTCAAAGAGGCATTTATTTTTAATAAATGTCTAAGTAATCCTGTTGAATTTTACACTCTGAGCAGCAGCCCCTTCCTGTTCTGGAAAATGAGCAGCCATTGCCGTTTTAGGTAGAACAGTGATTACCCACTACCTTTTTCTGTGCCAGCCCCTCCTACAGGCCACCTTCTCATATTAGTGGGCATTTATGTGACACAGAGTGGGATCATTTCTGCTCCAACTTGAGATAAAGTGGCTCTTTTAGCAGCCAATCTGCACAGTGACAGCAATAGTTACTTTTTTAGATAATGTCTACGTGGTGAAAATGACTTTTTCAGTTGCGAGGGTTCTCAGACTTTGTTCAGCATTTCTAAAGAGGAGCCTCACCCCCAGCAGTGGTGTGATACAGTGACAAGATGAAAGCCGTACAGGCAAGAGTCCAATTTTTTCTGGGTTGGAAAAATATTACCAGAAAACAATCAATGTTACTTAATAAATGAATACTTCATAATGTCAACTATTTCATCATGCATGTACCTATAGTTAAATTTGGAAGACTTAAAATAGCATGGTATGGAACGTTTAGACGTAGACAAACTTGTCATTTTGTATACAAAACAAAATTCCATTGCACACAGCTAATGACAACAATGTGATTGAAATAAATAACATTACAATTTAATGTATAGTGCAGCAGTGATAAGATGTACCAGTGCAAGGAGAATAAAATGTGATTTTGTTCAAAATATCAACCAAAAAATTGATTTTCCAGTTCTCTCAAAGATCTTTAGCTTTAGGACCCCCTGAGTACAGTGCCTTGCTAAAGAATTTGCCCCCTTGACCTTTTTGATACATTTCAGGCTTCAAACATAAAGATATAAAAATGTAATTTTTTGTGAAGAATCAACAAGTGGGACAAATTCAAGAAATGGAATGAAATTTATTGGATATTTTAAACTTTAACATATAAAAACAGAATAATTGGCTGTGCAAAATTATTCAGTTCATACTTTGTAGCGCCACCTTTATTGCGATTACAGCTGCAAGTCGTTTGAGCTATGCCTCTATCAATTTTTCACATCAAGAGACTCCACAAATGGGCTTTGAGTAGGACATTTTAACACCTGGATATGTTCATTTGTGAACCATTCCACTTTTGCTTTATGTTTTGGATCATTGTCTTGTTGGAAGATAAATCTCAGTCCTAGGCTAAGGTCTTTTGCAGACTCAGGTTATCTTACATAATGGTCCTATATTTAGCCCCGTCCATTTTCTCATCAATTTTAACCACCTTTTCCGTCCCTGCTGAAGAAAAACAGGCCCAAAACATGATGCTACCACCACCATTTTTGGCGATGGTGTGTTCAGGGTGATGAACCCTTGCTGCTTTTACACAAAAATGTATGTGTTGCATTGTTCAAAAAAAGTTCAATTTTGGTTTCATCTGACTGGAGCACCTTCTTCCCCATGTTTGCTGTTTCTCCCAGGTTGGTATGGATATCTTTAGGAAATGGCTTTTTTCCATAAAGGCCAGTTTTGTGCAGTATATGACTAATTGTTGTCATATGGAAAGAATCTCCCACAGATGTAGATCTCTGCAGTTCATTCAGAGTGATCATTGGCCTCTTGGCTGCATATCTGATCAGTCTTCTCCGTGTTTTGCTGAAAGTTTAGAGGGATGGCCGGGTCTTCGTAAATTTACAGTGGTCTGATACTCCTTCCATTTCAATATTATCACTGGCACAGTGCTCCTTGGGATGTTTAAAGCTTGCGAAATCTTTTTGTATCAAAATCTGGCTTTAGACTTCTCCAGAACAGTATCTTTGACCTGCCTGGTGTGTTCCTTGTTCTTTATGATGTTCTCTGTTCTTTAAACAGACTTCTGAGACTATCAAAGAACAGGTGCATTTATAAGGAGACTTGATTAAACACAGGTGGGTTCTATTTATCATCGTTTAGGTTAACATGGGATGATTCAGAGATCCTCACTGAACTTCTGGAGATTTTTCTGCACTGAAAGTAAAGAGGCTGATAAATTTTTCATGACCCAACTTCAAATTTTTTGTTACAAACGTTTAAAATATTAAATAAATTCCTTTCTGCTTAATGATTGCATCCCATAAAAAAATTATTTATTTAAGTTGGAAGCCTTAAATGTGGCAAAAGGTTGAAAAGTTCAAGGGGGGCCAATACTTACGTAAGGCACTGTACTGAGGATGTCCTGAAGCTAAAAACCTTTGAGAGAGTGTAAAGGTACTTATTTAATGTAGATTTAGAGGCTTTTTATTTTCAGTTTTGTGTTGTGACGGAGAATGTATAATTTAAGGTCTGGGAGATCCACCTCTAGCTGACAGCAATTGCTAAGCAGCAGACAACATGTCAGGTATGATTTCGATACTACATTTACAACTAAGTCCAAAGAGACGCATGCTTCTTGCATTTGGGTCGGACAGAAGCCGTTTGAAGTCATGCCTGAACAAACTACACAAAAAGATTTTTGCGGTCTCAGTCTGGTTATTCAGTCAGCCCAGAGTTTGCAGGTCTTTATTCACACATGTAGAACAGGTCCGGACCAAAGGAGATAAATGAATTCTGGACCATTTAGAGTGAACCAAACATGGCAGGTGTGAACACATCCTAAAACGTACTACATCTAAGTTTTGAATTTCCATTGAGCTCCAGAAAGCAGAGAAAGGCTGAAATTAGTTCATGCTAAGCTCATCAGATCTAAGAGGGGAGAGAGAAATAAATCACTTTTAACTTAAGGTCCAAAATGATCCAACACTTTTTCTTCTAACAGAAAATCCTGAGACTGATTGAAGAGCTAAAATTTGGAGAGTAAAATCCACTTTGAGACAACTCCAAACCTACTGTCCAGAATGTGCTAATGTAATAACCCTGCATAACCCAATTGTAATTGTGATGTCCTAGAACTGATGATGACTCAGCAGAACAGCAGAGGGGACGATTTAAATACCCTCTTAAGGAACATGACTGGACTCTCCTTGAGCTTACTGTAAACACACAGCGTCTGTAAAGCTGGTGAACATAAAGGTTAAACCAGCTAAAAAAAAAACAAAACAACAACATATGAGGCAAGTCAAAACAAACAGCAGCGGTCGACAAAGAACAGCCTAATTTGACAAATCTATTTCCAGGCTATACCCTCCTTCTGGGTAGATGATTACATCGTATAACTTTCATTAAATTATTAAACAGATTAAACATCTGAGAAAAATCTGAATAAAAAAGGGGTTATGTAAAGGCATGCTTCTTTGAAGAGCAAGGAACACAGCAGCCTCCCAAATAAAACTGTTTGATCCATCATCTGAAAATAAAAACAGAAAATGGACAACCTTAGAGCAAGATGTTTTGGATAAAATGGAAAAGCTGCAGAAATTCACAGATCTGATGAAAGAATCCTCTGACTATTAACTATTATTGTGGACTCAACCAGCATGACGGCAGCAGCATCATGCTGTGGGTATACCTCCGTTGTATAGGGACAGAGAAGCTGCTCATAGTGAATTGGAAGATGGAGGGAGCTAAAAACAGGGAAAGCCTAAAAAAAAACATTAGAAGCTGAAAAAGACATGAGTTTGGGTTGGAAGTTACCCTTTACCAACAGCCAAAGCTACAAGGATGCTCTTCAAAATAAAAGTTTAGTGGCTGTAGCTTAAAAAAGATGTAAATATGAATAAATGTATTTCAAAGTTGCTGTAGTATCACTTTACACCGAAACTCGACTAAAACTTTTGCTCTCTCAGCAAAGTTTACATCTAAAAAAGGTTAATAAACAAAAGCCAGATGGAGTGTTTACAAAAACCGTTTTAACCCCTTGATTCCCAATTCATTGTCCAAAATGGATGCATAGCTTCATTGGCAGAGCTGGGAAGTAATTATGATGAAGGAAAAGCAACCTAAGAGTCAGAAAATTATCAGAGTCGACCTCCTGTATTCAACAACCGGAATTAAGTCTCTTGTCTCGGATGTCCGTTGTATCAACTGCTTACATAAAGGCAAACATTATTAAACCATAAGCCAGTTAATAATTCAAAGCCAGCATACGGATGCATATTTTAACCAGTTAATTCCCATAGATTAGTTTCTACATCCAATCTGATAACTTAGCGATCTGACCAACAGTTGGATTAAAACCCCTTTATTGGGTTTTGTTTGTAATAATTAAGGTACACAATACAAAGGAGTATATTAAATACTTTAAACAATTGCAATGTCCCGCCGAAGGCAGAGGTCTGGGGAAGGTCCTGCTGAATTATTTAGTGTCATTCTACTCTTATAACACATTCAGCCTCACATTATTTTAAAAGAAAAGTTCAAATTCCACCTTGTATTTTACATGTTTTGTCTATTAACATATTATTCTAAATGAATATCAGAACCAATACCTACTCTGCTTTAAGAGCTGATTATTTTGGCTTTGAAGGAGTTTTAAAAGGTTGAATGATGTCATCCCTGCTAGTGACTGGTAAGCAGTCTGACTCAGAGACGGGTGACAGTCAGGAAGTCTTCTGGGGCTCCTGTTTTTTTTTTTTTTTTTTATTAACTAAAACAATAAGAACAGGTCTTTGAAGTAAAATGTATGCCGGTCATATACAGACACAGGAGTTGAGTCACAACAAAGGCAACAACGTTGAAGCCGGAGGGGCGTCTGAGCCGAAACAAAGAGGCGACAACTTGTGATGGAGCTGAAATGGATTAGGAGCGCCTTTCTACAGCGGGAGATGACACAGTGAAAGAAACTCCAAGCACCTTCAGTGCAAACACTCACCCGGCTATATGTGCTTCTTCTAGTCTGTGACATGATTCCTGGCTGCAGAGAGTCCCCAAAAAACGCCTTTGTCAACTGAAGGAGCGTGTTATTGAAATAAGGAGAGCATCGGCTAGACAGAAGGTATTAGGGGGGTACAAGTAGAAGGGAGAGGAGGGGGATTCAGAGATGCTGGTGGAGCATCTCTCTCTTTTTCTCTCTCTCTTCTCACATCCCCACAGCACAACTCAAGTCTCCCAAATCTCCCCCCGTTGCTTCTTTCCTCTTAAAAAAAAAACAAAAGACAGTCAGCAGGAGCTTATGGTTTGAGCAGGAAGTTTCCTTGGCAGCAGAGGGAACCGATCCAACCACCTCCTTTTAAAGAATGGATTTAACGACAAAAGAAAAACATAAAAACAGCCGGGCTTGGTTCAGCTATGAGTGCATCAGCTGAGTGGCTGCACTGCACTGTGTCAGTGTCTGTGCTGGCTTCTGCAGGAAGGAGGGGGATACAGGCCGCGGCAGAGAAGCTGGGTCCTAAAGCCTGCAGGCACCTCTCAGCTTATAACCACAAACCTCAAGGTTTTCCAATAAGGTGGAAAGAAAGGGAGAGGTTTCTATCTAAAAACAAATCTCTGAAATGTGCACTGATGTTCAGCACCCTTCAGTCTGACACCCCTGAATAAAGTCAAAACAACAGTTTCAAAGAAACTAAATTGAAATGAGCTACAGTTTGCAAAGTCATTTTTGCTGCATTGTTTAGTGAATAAGCTGCTTTCTTTCTTCTATTCAACCTTATTTTTACCTGAATATAATAACATACCTGAATATATCGTATTATCTATTGCTATTTGCAGAGTATTTTTATACTTCTTGATCATTTTTTTTCTCTTCTGCTTCACAGCTCGACTTTAATCGACTTTTTATTCATTGCATCTAATCCAGAGCGTAAGTCTGGTGAAATTTGTCTAAAGTTACATTTGTTTTAAGGCGAATCCTGATTGGTTCTAACCAATCCATGATAGGTGCTACTGAATTTCTTTCTTGGGGGGCATTCTTGAAGCAAATATTGTTTTTCTCTTTATCCATTCACATGACAAATGATACAATTATAAGAAATTAATTACAAAATCTAACATCTTTTTATTTATTTTTTTTACCATCATACCACAATCTCCCCACTGTGAAAGGGGCTTCTATTGTATCCTATTATTAATGTTATGCATCCCTTCACTTCTCTACTAAGACAGACAAAACATTTCAGACTAATTCTTTTTCAAGTTCTTTTTTGGTTCTTCTACTGATTTTCCGTCAAACCTCTCTTCCTGATTCTGTTACCCTGGCCTGGCCAGCATTTCAACTTATAAACCCAGTGATCTGGATCCAGGGTCCATGATTGGGGGATCATTTCCAGAACCAGAGTTCTGGCATGGTCAAGCTATTCCAAACGTTTTGGGTGAAGACAGCCAGAAGGAAACTTAAGGACTGGACAGGTTGTAGCTTCCAACCTTCTCCTTGCAGCAGATGATCGAGTGTCCAGACATTAACAGGAGCACCTCTTCGGCCTATGCTGTAGGATCAGCATCTATCCTCCCATAAACAAGAACTATAGCTTCACAGCATCATGCAGCCAGCACCGTGTCTCCCATTTAGCATAGCAAATTGGGGCCTTCCAATACATGACGCATTTTGCATGCATCCTATGAAGGACCAACTTTTAATAGAGCACCAAAAATACGTACAGTGGAACAAATAAAAAACATCAGAGGATGTAAAAAAAAGGAAACAAACATAGGGTGTGAATACATTTGCTCATCAATAAATACCTTTCCAGTGCTTCTAAAACACACTTTAAAGGCTGCTTTTTTGCTTAAAAATCATGGAGTTTTAGACGAAAAAACACTTTAAAAAATAATATTGAACAAAAGGCTGTTTAAGACCTGGAAACAGATTAATAAGGCATTCCTTATTAGCACTAGTTAAATTTAGGGCTGCAACTATTTATTATTATGCTAATCATTTACTCTGATGATTATAGTTTTGATTAATAATCTGATAGTAAAAGTTTCCTTGAAGATTTTTTAAAGAGTTAAACCAGGTTTAACTAAAACTTTTCAACCTGAAGAGTGCTAAATAGGACATACTGACTATTGACAGACAAAAAAGGTTTTTTAAATTTTAATTACTGCTCTAAGTGGGTTACCCTGTTGCTCTAGTTATGTTGTGAATATGCAATAAAACAAACCGATTAGGGGTCATTTAAATCAGGGGAAAGTGCACCATATCTATTTCCTGACCCCCTGCACTGCAGTCTCCTGCAAACCACAGTTTAAATTCACTTTTCATCCTTTGCTAGTGTTAGCGGCTGTGGAAAAAAACCTAAAAAACATCCTTCATAAATTAAACATTTACAAACCCTGGTATTAACTAATTCCTAGCTTGAGCACAGCAAACCAGTTAAACTGGATGTGTTTTTTGTTCCATTGTGGTTGAAGTCCAGCCACCCAGGTGCTGCAATGTATTGTTGCAGGGTTGTTGCCCTGTAGCCTGCCACAGACCAAGGATTAACTGTTTTACAAGCAAACTGAAAGGCTGCAGCTTTTTCCAACTCTCTTCCCTCTGTTTGCTTTGTTCTTGTCTTTTTTTTGCAGTCGAAGCAAAAGCTGTAAACCGCTCGCTTGCCTTTGAGAACCATTGAAAATTAGGCGTACAGACTAAAAGAGGCTCAACGTTGGATTTGATGTTAAGTAGAGAAAACAGCCTGGCATGCAAAATGCTGTCAAAAGTTTGCAGTGGGTGAAATGGATGCAGAGTTTTTAGGGCGTTTAGGGACAGGAAACAAACCTCTGCAGTCTCTTTGCATCCTTTTATGTAAATTACGAAGAAAGGCAGAACCAAAACAAGGGGGGGTGCTTTAATCCTGCAGGAAGAGGGGAGGCGGAAGCATCCTCACCTCTTTCACAAAGGGAGGACCAGCAGATCACTTAAATCAAAGAGATGAAAGCCAGGAAAAGGCGACCTTCCCCAGCACTGTCAAACATAACGTCTCCATGCTGCAAAGCCTGATGAGAGCAGCTGAAACGGTGAGACAGCAGGAACAGAGGTGACTTTAAGGAGAAACATTATGACAACAATGTGCCTCCATCAACCTACTGAGGAACACGTCAGCCTCAGCAGTCAAGGTAAGGATGAAGAAAACTATGATGAGGTGTCTCATTTGAGACGGCAGTGCAGAAAAACCAAACAGCAGCAGTAACTTTAATGAGACTGATCAAAGTGGGATATTTATTTTGCATTTACTTGCAAACTTATTTAACTAGTATTTGTAATTCTGCTGTGAAACCATTTTTGTGTTAAAATTGGAAAAAAGATTTTTCAGTTTTTATGAAATAATTTTTTATGTCATTTGTAATCTCAATGGTGTCAAATATTTTCCTAGAAATCAACATTAATTTTGAAAATGTTGTATTATGACGACTGTACGGCAGATGTTTTTTTTCTTGTTCTTTGTAAAATACTTGATCTTGCGACCCTGCTAGCGCTTCTTGTCTGAAGCAGTAGATCTGGGCTTTGACTAGGCCATTGAGACATTGATTTCAATTGATCTAAGGTCTGTTTGGACGCAATACTTGTTGGCCTTTGTAATCTGTATTAGAAACGTATGGTTTTTCATGCTAACAGTTTGTTCAATCTGTTGGATTACGTTTTAACGGTAATGGAAGTGCACAGACCATTGATCAAAATTATGAAAATAGCAGAGAGAGAAATATGGATTTATATTAACTGATATAAATATTGTAATGCTTTTAAACTAATTTCTAGCATTTAACTGTAGCTTAGGCCAAATGTCATCAGCCTTCTGGCAGCTTTTAATCGATGGTCGACTCCTGTTTAGCTCAATCCATCTTATGGCTCTGCCTGACCAGCCTCTGTCCAACCCCTCAGCATGATACTGCAACCACTATGTTTTGCATATAGTTCAGTTATTAGTCTCACCCAATCCACCTCCTTCCTCTTGATTTGCTCTGTTCCTTCATACTTGCTGTAAAACTTGACAAGGGACAAAATATTGTGTTTTGTCCTCATAAAGAACATAATTAATGTTTGTTCTGTTGACAGATGATGTAACAGGTATAGCTGGAGGTGTATGAATCTTAGCTAAGTACTCTACAGTCCTGTCAAAATGTCTGTTTTTATTTATTTTTAGGACAATTCAACATCCTAGTATTTGTGATGATGGACGATCATTTTTGTTTGCTTTATATAATTTGGTATTTTCAATCAATCAAAATGCTATTTTTCCCCCTTTTTGTCATTTGCATGGAAAGTAACTGAAAACGTGTTCCTCTCCATGATTAAATAAAAGATAATTTCTGCAAAAACACCTCTACTTCTCAAATATAAATAGGTATTTATTAAAAAACAGAGAAAGGAGGTCATCTGTTAGAGACATACAGGGTCTGTGCTGTACTAAAACTTCTCTTTAATTGTGTGGCTTAACTAAAACTGTAACTTAATGCCATCTAGTGTGTTTCTCCTGAACACTGACAACATTATACTTAATGTTTAAATGCCTTAATAAAGATGAATTACAGTGCTACAAAATAAACAGAAGAAAAAACATATTAAGGAGAAATAAAATCAGCTATTTCTGATTAAATAAACGTATGCATCTAGCAGCCAAGTGACAATCGGGTTAAAGTGATAAATTAAATTAATCGGCAATTACGCTGTTCTGAGATGAAATTAATAGGATCCCCACAGTCCCCCGTTGTGGTCGCTTCATAAACATAAACTAATGCTAATTAAAATAAAGTGCTTTAGCCTTTTTTTAACGTATAATTATAATAAGAATACGAAATTGAAAGAATATGAACCTGAACTAAAAATTGGCATAAAAGCGACTGATTTAAACAGCGTTCATCGCGGCTGCTAGCTGTCAGTTACCCTCCCTGCAGCTGCTAGCACCTGTTAGCCTGCACTGGCTGCTTCAGAAGCAATAAAAAATGATTTAAATCCAAGAAAACATTTATTGTAAAAACATTTATCCGTGACAGTCGAGTTTATACATTTTACCCCTAAATTTTAAGTCTCAGAGGAGCAGTTGTTAGTTAAATCTTACCCGCTTGTGTTAAAAAATCCGGTTTGGTTTGAGCTGCTCGGAGAGCTGCTTCCATCAGAGCGGACAGAACCGGCTGCAGTGTCCGAGTTGCTGCCTGACTGGGGCGGCCTCACAGCTCCGAGGAGCCCGGGGACATTTTCAATACATAGAGACTAATGAACAATGTAAAAACAAGACAAAACAAGAAAGAACAGCACATAATGTTTATTAATTAAACAATAATTTATTAGAAAACCACAGGTGGGTAATGTGGAAACCAAATTCTATGGAAAGATTCCATTCAGATGGAAAAAAAAAGTGTCTCATAATAATGAGATACTATATTATTATTTTTACTCAGCTTTC